TAAAAATAAAACTGTACTAAAATTGGTATAAGCATGATGAAGTGGGCTATGTGAGCTTCACATTTGTAAAAAAGAAAGAAGATTTCTTTGGTTCGAGAATAAAATTTTGGCCATAATACGAAAGGGTGCGTACACATGAAAAGCTAGCTTTACAGGAGGTAAAATTTTGACAACAGCACACGACGCAAAATTGCAAAAAATCAAGTTCTACAATTTTACTGCGACCCAGATAATTCTGCAACCAGGTAGGTAATCTTTAATTTCAGACAGAGCTTAGGAAAAAAAATACTACTTGCGGGGGTCAACTTTTGGGTTAAAAATAGCATTTTTTGGCATTTTTTGGTAATTTTTGATGTGGTAACCATGGTTTTCACACAAGTGACATACATAGAAAAAAGAGGTCATTTCTACTGTATTCTGCTACCTTAAGTAGGATGTTGCCCTATTCTGGTGGGATGTTACCCTATTTAAGTAGGATGTTACCAAATTTTAGTAGGATGTTGCCCTATTCTAGTAGGATGTTGCCCTATTTGAGTTGGATGTTGCCCTATTCTAGTAGGTGTTACCCAATTTGAGTAGGATGTTGCCCTATTGTAGTAGGATGAAACCTATTGTAGTAGGATGGTACCCTATTGTAGTAGGATGTTACCCTATTGTAATAGGATGTAACCCTATTGTAGTAGGATGTAACCCTATTGTAGTAGGATGTAACCCTATTGTAGTAGGATGTATCCCTATTGTAGTAGGATGAATCCCTATTGTAGTAGGATGTATCCCTATTTTAGTAGAACGTTACCCTATTTTAGTAGGATGTTAGCCTATTTTAGTAGGGGACGTTATCCTATTTTAGTAGGATGCTGCTCTTTTCTTTAATAAGATGCAACTCTATTCTGGTAGGATGTTACCCTATTTAAGTAGGACGTTGCCCTATTTAAGTAGTATGTTGCCCTATTCTGGTGGGATGTTGCCCTATTTTAGTAGGATGTTGCCCTATTTAAGTAGGATGTTGCCCTATTCTGGTGGGATGTTACCCTATTTTAGTAGGATGTTACCCAATTTTAGTAGGATGTTGCCCTATTCTAGTAGGATGTTGCCCTATTCTAGTGGGTGTTACCCAATTTGAGTAGGATGTTGCCCTATTGTAGTAGGATGTAACCCTATTGTAGTAGGATGTAACCCTATTGTAGTAGGATGTATCCCTATTGTAGTAGGATGTAACCCTATTGTAGTAGGATGTATCCCTATTGTAGTAGGATGTATCCCTATTGTAGTAGGATGTATCCCTATTGTAGTAGGATGTATCCCTATTTTAGTAGAACGTTACCCTATTTTAGTAGGATGTTAGCCTATTTTAGTAGGGGACGTTATCCTATTTTAGTAGGATGCTGCCCTTTTTTTTTAGTAAGATGCAACTCTATTCTGGTAGGATGTTACCCTATTTAAGTAGGATGTTGCCCTATTTAAGTAGGATGTTGCCCAATTCTGGTGGGATGTTACCCTATTTTAGTAGGATGTTGCCCTATTTAAGTAGGATGTTGCCCTATTCTGGTGGGATGTTATCCTATTTTAGTAGGATGTTACCCAATTTTAGTAGGATGTTGCCCTATTCTAGTAGGATGTTGCCCTATTTGAGTTGGATGTTGCCCTATTCTAGTAGGTGTTACCCAATTTGAGTAGGATGTTGCCCTATTTTAGTAGGATGTTACCCTATTTTAGTAGGATGTTACCCTATTTTAGTAGGATGTCGCCCTATTTTAGCAGGGTTGTCCTATTTTAGTAGGATATTGCACTATTTATAGCAGATTTATAACTTTAAAAATAAATTGCTATTTCAGCAGGATGTTCCCCTATTTAAGTAGAATATTACCATATTTTAGAAGGATATAATCCTAATTCAGAATAATGAGATGCTATCGAAATAGGATGTTACCAAGCCAAATGTGTATCAATTGTACCTGTCATGCGAACAAATAATATCAGCTCTATTTTCACTAATTATAAAAGATATGAATATCATTCATGTATATAAAAATCTATCTTCTGGTCTAAATCTTTTCTCTTGGAATTTAAATCATTCACTCCTGAAGAAACATTTTAACTCCTCCAATTCAAAGTTGGAATAGTTCGTTATAAATTTCAGGGGTGAATGAGGTAATATAACACAATATCTTCTGTTCTAACACTGATCTTTACTCTGTTTTTGATAGATGTTTGGCATAATTTGGGTGAAAAATATTTCATTTATAATTTCTTGGTTTATCTATAGATATTTAAATATTGAAAAATATATTACTTTATTTTGCAAGGGTAAATTTTTACTTCATCAAATTTTAATTATTACTGATTTAGAGGTTTTAGAGGATTTAGGTGAAGGTCATTTTGTTTTCAACACTTTAAAAAAAAACCAGCAACGGTAAGTTTTTCTGTGAATATTCACCTTCAGATAAAAATGATGAAAACCATATTTTTACGATTACTTTTGAAAAGAAATTCTGTTCTAAAATTTCACCTTCTTATATATATAACTTGACGATTTCTTGTGATACAAGTTAAGGCTAATAACCTACAAAATCTGAAATAATATGAAATTTTAAAGTGTACTTTCTATTTTGAACTGGAAATTAAATCCAGATGAAGAATTTGAGTGTGAGAATGAAATTAAGTTATGAATTTGGCCCTTATTTTGAAAGCTCAGATGAATATAATGTTACCATGTTTATCACTACAACATTGAGATTTCGTTGATATCACGCTCTTTAAGTTTAAATATTACATTCATGTGCATTAACTATGCACTGAGGCACGGTAGTCTAGTGGTAGGACGCCGGGCTTGTGACTGAAGGGTTGCGGGTTTGAGTCACAGCACGACGCTGTGTTGTATCTTTGAGCAAGTTACTTTACTCTTGCTTGTTCCAGTCTACTCAGCTGTAAATAAGTATGTGGTATAATAATGTGTGAACCGCTTTAAGACGACCTACGAACTAGGTAATGATAAAACGGTATATAAGAACCTTGTATAAAATTATTATTACATGTATTAAGTACGGGATATTAAATTTTAAATTACCTAATAAGTTAGAAGAGTTAACGCCCTTGGTATGTTTTGTTGTGTCATTGTTCAGTGTGAATGAGGAATTTTAAAAGCTTTTAACATTTTATTCATCCCATCATTTTAATATATGTTGTATAAAATTTGTTGCTTAATTCATTTTGAACATACCGGTAAGTAAAATATCTGTGAAATGCAGTGTTGTTTCAGTTCTATGATGCTGGGGCTGAGGTTTTCTGTGACAATTACATTAATATTAATTAATTACATGTGTCTTTTAGAACTCAGTTCAGCTTTGTAGAAAATGCTTTTCACGATACTGGTACAGAGAAACAATGTGCTATCATGTTTATAATATAAATAGAATATAAAATTGTTTTACGAATTATGTTTCAGACAGCAATATCAATGATGCACCCCAGTCTGAAGGACATGGCCCTACAGAATATGGTGATGAAAAAGGTGTGTGGGACATTTTTTTCACTGTCAGAGTTAGACAATTCTGCCGTGTTGTAGCACATATTGGTACAGAAAACTGTATTACAATATGATGCATTACACTGACAGTGTTTTTTCACACAGGTGCTAGGTATGTTCATATTGGACCAGACCTGAAGGGACAGATAGAAACGTTTTTAGGGATTGTTATCAGTGAAATAAAAAAATCTCTAAAAGTATTTGAAATGGGTGACAGTGCTGATCAGTGTCTTTAAAAGCTTTATTCATGAGTTCATGTTCATGAACACAAACACTTCAGAGAATTTGAATGTAGGTTTTACCAAAAAGTGCCGATCCAACAAATACTGTCTCTGAGTATTATATATCTGTTGTTACAGTCCTGAATTGCAATAGATTGTTATATCACTATTTGAGAAATTTATTGACTTGTCTGTCAGCAGGGTTCAATATTGATAATCTTGCATACATTTGTATGAGAGGATTAAATGTGAATTAAATTCAGTAAACTGGGAGTGGTCTGATCTTTTTACACAAATTTTCCAATGGGGATGACCTTTTTGCATTCCAAATCTTGACAGAATGTTGACGTGTCAATGAACTTGAGTGTATGGATCATCATCTTAACATTGAAATTGACATAATCTGCAGTACAGAATGTTAAACCTGTTGTTATAACTTCAGGAGATAGAGATGAACAAACAAGTACAGGAAGATCTGCTCCACGACAATCAACTACTGGAGACTGAGGTGGAGAGACTCCTTAGGGATCCAAAGACCAACACCAGACTTCAAATGTTTCCAGAATTCTTCCCCACTCGAGAAAAGTAAGACTTCTGTAAATCTGTCCGCTCCACATTATAAACGCAGATATTTGCGGAATGCCTGCATTTGAGGATATTACATGGAAAGTCTAGGTCACTGTTATTGTCATTATTCCCCAATAACTAAAGGTCCATGTGGCCCTCAGTACTCAATTTGGTTTATTTTGTCATACCCTAGTTACTCATTTTTTGGAAAATGGAGGCACAATATTGCTCTTTATGTTAGAGGTGCAGGACGCTTTAGCTGTAAATACATTGTTATGACACGATATCTTTCTTTGGGCCTAAGCTAGTCCTACTGCTTAACATTCATACAATGATTGCTGGTTGAAGGGATACTGTATAACACGAAATGTTCGTTGGTACTTTCCTTCGTGGTTTGAAACCATTAAGATCGTTTCGTGGTACAAACTTTCGTGGATATCCTTAATTAATAAACAGTAGACACGTATATCATCCTAATTTGTTTGTATTTATTTTCGTGGTTTAATAGCAACCACGAATGTTTATACACAACAAACATTTCATGTTATACAGTATATAACGTTGTCTTGATTTTTATAAGTAAAAGGTCAAGGTTGAAATTATTGTGTTGTCTTGAGTTCAATAGGTCAATGGTCAAACTTTGGATTATGATAACTAGAATATTATGTCCTTTTGGCATGCAATTTATTATGTTGGTTTTGAAATCAAATTTTAAGTTTACAATAAACATAAAGAAAGCTCTAATAGAATGTTTTGAAATGCTCAGATGCCTTTTCAGGTTCACTGAAACTATAGTTGTCAATATCGTCTAGATCAATGTCACAACAAACATAAAATGTATTAGATTGTTTCTTACTACAATTCCTATTTTCAGTTTTACCGAAATTTGATGAAAGAGTCAAGGTCCTGGTTTTATCATTTGGATCAAATGAGGAAAGCTTATAACAAAAATAATAAACGTTGTAATTACAGGTGTACTCCAGACATGGATGTGATTTTAGACATACCGACACAGGAATGGCTGCCCATCTAGTCCCTGCCTGTTCTGTGTTACCTGCCTGGGAACCAAGTGTCGGTTTGGTTGGGTAGATCTGCGGGTGACTAGAGGACATCTGGGTCTCCTGAAGATCAGGTGGAGATTCCATCCCATTAACGATGCTGCCAATTCATTAGTGTGGAAAATATATGGTTATAATACTGTATAGTTGTTCATTGTCCTGGGTTAATAAGGGTCCATCCATTTGTTTTGGAATTCAAAATCACTGGTAAACATTATGTTGTGTTTCTTAATAAATCAGTTTATTTAATTTATGCAATTTCTTTGTCAATACATAGACACAGAGATGTATTATATACAGTATTGTCTTCATTTATATGTATTCAAACATGTTTACAGTATACCGTACTATATTGCGACTCCCCACATTTTGCTGAGTATTGGTTCTTATACCATACCATTATTACCGTATTTATCCTGCAATAAGCCCAAGGGGTCGACACATAATCTCTCACTCAAAATAGAGGGATGGGCTTCAAAAATAAATTACATGACAATGATATACTGTAGCATTAGTTTATATTTCTACTGAACTAAAATATATATTTGGGTGGGCTTATTAACAGGCATGGGCTTATTGCCGGGTAAATATGGTTTAACTATCTATGGAATATATTTCTCTTTGTTGAATTTACTCTTTCAATGGTGAAAATTTTAAAAATCCTGTTTTGTCTATTTTTGTTTTTCTTTTCAAAAAGAGTGTTTGCATCGGTGATTTGATAGTCATTCTTGATATCTATAAAATAGAAAACTAGCAACTATACATTATATGAACCAGGGAAAACAGAATGATATAGCTGCCTGAGCCAGACACCTTTTCTGTGTCAGGTGAAGAGGTTCATTGTGGTAGTCACTGATACTTTCAAAGTCTGCAAGGTAGTTGGTATGTGAATAGTGTCTTAGCGCAATTACTCTTCATCAAAAATTAGTGTAACTCCTGTAGGAGATGTAATACTATCAATGTTAACTGCAAGATTCTATATTAATATGCAAAAGTTCTTCAACAGTGGTTGAAATGTGCATATTTCTTTTTGAAATTCAAAATTTAATTCGGGAATTAGTACAATTCTTATCAAAATCTAACGATTTTGATTTGAATTTTCCTCGTAATACATAAGATGCCATAAATGTTATCGGTGACATTACTAACAATCATTACTGCCAGTCACAGGGTGTATTTTGTGTATATTATTGTGTTCGTAGATTTAAGAGTACAAAATGGGTAGGACCGTGTAATTGCGTGACACTTGTCCAAAGACATTTGCTTCCCATAAAAAATGAAATAACAATGAAATTGCGTTGGTGGACATTGCAGTTTCAAATTTTATATAACTCCAACATTTTTAACATCACAATTACCAAGTCTCCAGGTGGTAGTATAGACATGTCTTAATACACAGGTGATCTCATTGACAGGTAATTTTATGAACAGATGATCTTCATAGAGAGGTGGTATTCATAGCAGGTTTCACACCAAGTACAAGTGTTGAATGTAAGAGAAATGTAAGAGGTGAATAAAAAATGTGTTAAAGTAACACTTTTTGCTTATTTCTTTAAACCTTTCACCCCTATGTAACTTCAGTAGACTCTGCCATGCATTAATATGGAGGAGGCCATTATGGTCTACAAAGCATATTCTTGTAGTGAAATTTCTAACACTTCAGTATCATTCAAGGTCAAGGTTACAAGTATTGAGTATTTTTTTTAATTCAATAGGTCAAAGATCAAAATTAAGATTGTGATAACTAGAATGTTATGTCCTTTTGGCGCAAATAAATATGTAAATGTTTTGGCTTTAAAGGTCAAATTTTAAATTTACATAACCATACAGAAAGTTATCATGAAGCTTTGGAACGCTCAGGTGTCTTTTCAAGTTCACTGAAACAAAGCTGCCAATATAGTCAATGTTGATCACAACAAGCATATGCTGTAACATTTAAAAGAAACAATAATCACTGAGGCACGTGATAAGCCAAGCAGCCGTTCAAATTATGTAGGTTAAGCTCGGGTCTAAAAATAAGTCAATAAATACGCACAAATTCCTGACTGAGTGCAAAATAACAATGTATAGCGAATTTATACCAAAAACACATAACAGAAAGAAGTCAAATAAGCTTATCAGAATGCTATATATACTAACAAGGGATTACTGAAATAAATTCATTTGTTAAGTTACAAAACCGTGGTCCAATCACCTACCAAAATACATTAGTTTGACCAATGACCTTAACCTACAGAGCAGTTTATGACCTTGACCTTGTATATTTGTAATAGGCAAACAATGTAGGACTTGTGAGTGAAGTTTGTAAAACATAGTAATGAAATGTGAAGGGCAAAATTAGTATTTGGCAAATGTACAATGTGATGGAGTGGGTACAAGGTTCAGTGCTCATTACATGTTTCTGTCATTTTAAAAGTTCGGGAAAAAAAAGAGCATCGTGAGCAGAATCATGATACACCTGTCGGACCCTAGGAAGGGTATCGATATATTGGAAGCAGGTAGTGACATATGATATAAAAGGGTTTACTGCAACCGTTTTGTTGGTGACTGACCTTGGCATTCATGAACTACATAATGTATTTTTGAAATTGAAAGGAATTAAACAAATAATTGAAATATTCTTGCATTTTCGATGGAGTGCCCTTATTTGGCAATGAAAAAGGGGTAAACTCTGCAAAAAGTCACGATTAAAGAACTCATACATTCAAGTAATGAAACATCCCACCAAGATTGACAAAAAAACGGCTAAAACGTTGAGCGGCGTTGCTATGTCAAGTGGGATATGCCAAAACACGGAAAGTTGAAACTGGAAAGAAAAAAAACTTGATACATGTTGAACATTATTGCTTCTAGCATTACGGTACAAAATTGGAGTGGAATTGATTAAAAAAAAAAAGTTCTTGCATTTACTACACAATGCGAACTCGTTCGAGCTATATTGGTATGCAATATGTGTACCAAGTTTCATCAAGATATGTTCATGAATGAGGGCAGGAGAGTGATGACAAGGGTAAAAGTTAACGAACAGACAACGCAGTTGGTCCCCCTTCACCTAAGGATGCTCTGTCCCAAATTTGGATAAAATCCTGTCATTCCTACAGAAGAAGAAGAATTTTAAAGAATTTGCTAAATTACCCCTATTGGGCCCAACCCCTCAGGCCCCAAGGGGATCAGACCCACCATTTATACAAAATTGATTCTCCTTCCCAATAGGATACTACTGGTCAAAATAATGTCATCCCAATGGAAGAAAAAGGATATAAAAGCTATTGTTCTATATCCCTTATTGGACCTGCCTCTCTGCCCTTCACCGAACGATGCTTTATACTAAATTTGGACAAAATCCTGTCATTCCTACAGCAGAAGAAGGATTTTGATGAATTTGCCATGTTTCCCCTATTGGACCCTTCCCCTCTGTCCGCCAGCCAAACCCACTCTTTATACTAAATTTAGTCCCCTTAGCCAAAGGATGCTCCAGACTAAATTAGGATAAAATCCCTTTATCCCTACGGTAGAAGGATTTTAAAGGTATAACCTCTATTTCCCATATTCAGCCCCGCCCCTCTACCCCCAGGGAGGCAACCTCTATTTCTCTTTCCTCTGTCCTCAAGGGGGCCACACCAACTGTTTATACAAAATTGAGTCCCCTTGGCCAAAGGATGCTCAAGACCAAATTAGGATAAAATCCCTTAATCCCTACGGTAGGAGAAGGATTTTAAAGGTTTTACCTCTCTACTATTCAGCCCATCCCCTCTGCCCCCAGGTGGACCACACCCACCGTTTATACAAAATTGAGTCCCCTTGGCCCAAGGATGCTCCAGACTAAATTAGGATAAAATCCCTTAATCCATTCAATAGAAGGATTTTAAAGGTTTTACCTCTATTTCCCCCAAGGGGGCCACACCAACTGTTTATACAAAATTGAGTCCCATTAGCCAAAGGATGCTTCAGACTAAATTAGGATAAAATCCCTTAATCCCTATGGTTGAAGAAGGATTTTAAAGGTTTTACCTCTATTGGCTCCGCCCCTCTACCCCCAGGGGGCCACACCTACTGTTTGTACAAAATTGAGTCCCCTTGGCCTAAGGATGCTCCCGTCAAAATCTACTTGGCCGTTCAGGACTGTTAAGTGTTTTAAAGGGAAAGTTGACGGACGGACAACGGTCGCTGCAGTATGGCATATAAGAATGGATAGAAAAAGGTTTGATTGTGCTTGCAATTACATAACAAGAGGCCCAAGAGGGCCTGTATCGCTCACCTGAATATTTAAGCAGTCATAGCAAAATATTCTCATTAAATATTATATTGCACTAAAAATATTTCTCTCGCAAAATTTGTTGGCTCCATCTGTTGAAACTACCAGCAAAATATTATTACAAGTTTCTATGCTTTTTGATTCTTCAGAGGTTGCTTGACATATTTTTCCCTGTGACCTTGTAAGTAGGTCAATGTCATTTTCCTTCTCAAATTGGTAAGCTCTATTCCAAAAGCTACCAGCCAAATCTTATGAATCCATTCCTTTTAGTTCTTAAGAACAAATCCATTAAAATGTTGTTGACCTCTGTGACCTTGAAAGTAGGTCAAGGTCACTTTCATTCGCAAACTTTGTTGGGCTCTTTCCCAGGAAATAATCAGCCTAATATTAAGGTTCTATAACTTCCAGTTCTTCAGAAGAAGTCATTTGAAGTGTTTGACGTATCTGCCTTATGTGACCTTAAAAGTAAGTTAAGGTCATTTTCATTCTCAAACTTTGTTGGGCTCTTTCCTAGGAAGCTACAAGCCAAATATAAAGATTCTATACCTTTCAGTTGTTCAGAAGATGTTGTTTGAAGTGTCTGACACATTTGACCCCTGTGACCTTGAAAGTAGAACAGGGTAATTTTCATTCTCAAACTTTGTTGGGCTCCATCCCAGGAACCAATCGGCCAAATATGAAGATTATATACCTATTAGTTCTTCAGAAGAAGTTGTTCTAAGTTTTTGACACATTTGACCCCTGTGACGTTGAAATTAAGTCAAGGTCATTTTCGTTCTCAAACTTTGTAGGGCTCCTACCAACAAAGCTTTCAGCCAAATATCATGACTCTAGGCCTGTCCGTTCTTCAGAAGAAGTTGTTTAAAGGAAAAGTTGACGGACGAGGACGGACGGACGGTCAAACAGGTGAGCTAACAAGAGTACCGCGGGGCGAAACAATATACGCTCTCGAATGTCATATAATGTTATATACTTTCTTACATTGAAATAAGATATCTCTGCATCATTCTAAGATTGGTTAGCCGACATGCTATAAACAAGAGACTCAAGAGGGCCTGTATCGCTCACCTGAATATCTAAGCAGTCATAGCAAATATTCTCATTAAATATTATGTTGTACTACAAATTTGTCACTAGCAATCATTATCGTTTCCATCTGTTGAAACTACTAGTCAATATTATTTTAAGAGTTTATGCTTTTTGACCATCGTTCTTCAAAAGTTGTTGGACATATTTTTCCCTGTGACCTTGTAAGTATGTCAATTCATTTTCGTTCTCAAACTTTTATAGCTCTATCCCAAGAAATTACCAGCCAAATCTTATGAATCCATTCCTTTTGTTTCTTCAGAACAAATCCTTTGAAATGTTGTTGACCTGTGACATAGGTTGAGGTCATTTTAATTTGCTAACTTTGGTGAGCTCTATCCAAAGAAGTGACTAGCCAAATATAATTTTATGCCTTTCGATTTTTCAGATGTTGCTTGACATTTTCATTCTTAAACTTTGTCGGGCTCTATCTCAGGAGGCCACAAGGCAAATATGAAGGTTCTACATCTTTTTGTTCATCAGAAGAAGTCGTTTAAAGAAGTTGACAAATATTTGACCACTGTTACCTTGAAAGTAGGTCAAGGTAATTTTCATTCTCAAACTTTGTCAGGCTCTATCCAAGAATGCCACCAGCCAATTTTGAAGATTACATACCTTCCAGTTCTTCTTCAGAAGTCGTTTGAAGTGTTTGACATATTTGACCCCTGTGACCATGAAAGCAGGTCAAGGTCATTTTCATTCTCAAACTTTGTCCGGCTCTATGACAGGAAGCCACCATCCAAATATAACGATTCTAAACCTTTTGGTTCTTCAGAAGAAGTCATTTAAAGTGTTTGACACATTTGACCCCTGTGACCTTGAAAGTAGGTCAAGGTCATTTTCGTTCTCAATCTTTGTTGAGCTCCATCAGCCAAATATGAAGATTATATACCTTTTAGTTCTTCTTCAGAAGTCGTTTGAAGTTTTTGACATATTTGACCCCTGTGACCTTGAAAGAAGGTCAAGGTCATTTCGTTCTCAAACTTTGTTGAGCTCCATCCCAGGAATCCATCAGCCAAATATGAAACTTCTATACCTTTTAGTTCTTCAGAAGAAGTCGTTTGAAGTTTTTGACATATTTGACCCCTTTGACCTTGAAAGAAAGTCAAGGTCATTTTCGTTCTCAAACTTTGTCAGGCTCGTACCAACAAAGCTTTCAGTCAAATATCATGACTCTAGGCCTGTCCGTTCTTCAGAAGAAGTTGTTTAAAGGAAAAGTTGACGGACGAGGACGGACGGATGGATGGGCGACGGACGACGCACCATGACATAAGCTCACTTGCCCTTCCGGCAGGTGAGCTAAAAATTGACCAAGTGTACCTTACTGGTGTACTGTTTATTGATCTGCGTAATGCATTTGATACCGTAAATCACAAAGTACTTTTACACAAACTTAAGTCATATGGGGTATCCCAATCAGCCGTACAGATTTTCCATTCATATCTTTCTGACAGATCACAAGCTGTAAACTATCAGGGGATACTATCTGAGTTCAAGCCAATTAATATTGGTGTTCCACAGGGCTCAATACTTGGGCCACTTCTATTTATATTATATATAAATGATTACCCAAAATGTTAAAAAAAATGTAGGAGGAGATTGCCGGACAAACAAAAGTTTACGCCGGACGGACGGACAACCCCATACCATAATACTTCCGTCAAATTTGACAGGCTTATAAAAAAGACTACACACTTTTGTTATCACATTGTTTAATCAACATAGTTACAAAACCAACACAATGTATCTTGCATGACTTGCGTTATTTACATTCTTGCATGTTCGAAAAACATGTACTTAAAATTCACACTTATAACTTGATCCACTAAATCTTTAAAGTTCCTTAACCACCCTGTTTATTGAGATGTTTACTTATCAGCACTACCTTTAGGTTGCATGCCTGGTTTATATTCTCCCTTGCTATAGTCATATCTACTAGCGAGACCATACATAATTCCTTTTCTTTGATTTATCATATTCTGCACAATTGCCTCCATGTGTCCTTCACTTAATTGTGCAGATGGAGCAGGTAGAACTAAAAATAAACAAATATTAGAAGATTAATAGCAGATATCCATAACACATGTATTGCAAAAGGGAGGAGATAGGAACATACTCAAAAGGTTTTTAGTTTGCTTCACTTGGCAAGAACACTTCAATTTAATGTTATACACATACTTATTTAAATCTCTGACATGAAATACATTACAATCTTATAGACAATATGGAAATCTTGTGAAGAAATAATAAAGCTGAATAAAACTTAACATACTTTTTTTATTTAGTTTGTTTTTCATTTTTACTGTTCCTGGAATTTTGAATGATAATATTTTTCTAAAGTGTATAACTTCCCACAAAAAGCATGAAAACCCTAACCCATTCTGTAAGAAATTTATTTTATTTTCCTTATAGTTATACAGTGACAAAGAACATGTGGATATATCTTTCTTATAAAATCCGTTTGCAACATCATTTTTTGTTTTCACTGACCGTAGTATGTTTTCATACATAAAGTAAATTTAACTCTAACTATAATTCATCAGGTCATTACTGAATCTTTGTTCGTTCCATCAGAGAAACACATGTGAAGCATGTTTAAGAAACTGGTCTATTGCACTTGCCCCTGACATGTGGGCCGACTATTTCCACTTTCCCCTGACATGTGGGCCGACTATTTCCACTTGCCCCTGACATGAGGGCCGACTATTTCCACTTGCCCCCGACATGTGGGCCGACTATTTCCACTTGCCCCTGACATGTGGGCCGACTATTTACACTTGCCCCAGGCATGTTGGCCAACTATTTTTGCACTAGCGCAAGTGCTAAAACTGGTTGTCCTTGGGCACATGAATTTTCATACTCCTGATATCATGTATATTTCATCTTTAACTTTATAATGTACTTATATTAAAACTTTTTAGGCTATCGCATGACACACTAAAGAATATATTTATTTGTTACGGAAAGGACATAAGTTGTATTAACTTTTGTCCAATCCATTTGGCTTTTCGTTTGTAATGAAATTGATTTAAACTAATGTATATTTCACTCATGTCCATAAATCTCCCACAGAGTTTATCCCTAATCATCACCTGTGTCTATCAACAGAAAGAGACGGATGGACATGTACAATACCCTCCCCGAGTTCTCAATCACAAACTTCCTAGCCGCACACATACTACTTCCTCGCATGTATCTAGGCAAATAAGAGCTAAAGTTAATAATAATGTACAGCAACTCCTGATAATATAATATTGTACACAAAAATAATGTACTTACTTAAATCTTCTTGAGCCCATATCAAGAGCTGGGTCGTAAAACATCCAAATAAGAATATAATTAGTTGTCTTTTCCACTCTCCAGTTGGTGCCAACATTTCTTCAAAAGTTTGAGCATATGAGGCTCTGTACACTACAAATAGAAGTATACTCACTAATAAAAAGACAATGAAGGACAATACTGGATACAGTGCATGGTCATCAGTACAAGTGGGTATATCATACAAACTAGAACACATGTGTCTCACCATAACAACCCCCCTTCCCCTAGTAACCCTTGACCTTAGACAACCCCCTCCACTGGTAACCCTTGACCTTAGACAACCCCCCTCCACTGGTAACCCTTGACCTTAGAAACTCTTTTTTTTACATATATATATCACAGCGATTAGTCTTTCAATTAAAATTAAAACTACCCCCTATTGTCATTTTTTTACTAACAGTGACCATGACATTCTATTTTTAGTAAGTGACCATGACATTAACCTAAGAAACGTTTGAAGCCCCTATTGCACATATGAACATAATACAGTGTTATATATACTTACCAACTCTCCCTATTTTGTAGGGTTTGGTTTGGTTTAATTTTGTTTAACGTCCTATTAAAAGGTCAGCTAAAGTCATTTAAGGACGTGATTGAGACTATCGATTTTACTGACAGCTCAAAAGATGCCTTTTAAAACTGTTATTTTTTCCCTAGAGGTTAAATATATGCACACACATTGTATTTATGCTTTTAATTATGAGCACACGTTATCACCCTTGTGGAAATTTTAAAGTATGGCTAGTATGAGTGTATCACTAAGTAAATTTTCATAAAGATTAGTCTGATGGATTTTGAGATAATCTCTGGAAACGAAATTGTGGATGGACAAAAACATGAGACAGACTGGAGGACAAATGGTCAGTGTGATCACTATAGGCCAGGCCCTATTTAGGCCTTGTATTAAGTTGTAACTCTGGTTTAATATCACAAAGTTTAGGCCTTGGGAGGCCAACAAATTTATTAGTAATCCAGACTCTAATCTATTACACATTCAATTTGTTCCACTGACTAATTTGTCCTCCAGATGATTCCAAGCCACCAATACTCGAAAAATCTGATTCATCAAGACATTACTCAAGAACTTAACTTATGAAATTACATACCAAATTCTGCCATGATGATTACATATTGATCCAGTGCTAATTCTAAATCATACAAAACAAGGTCCACAGTAACTGACTTACAGTCTTTCTTGTCCTCTAGCGTGAGTTTACCCCAGTCATTGTTCGACTCTTTCTCTCGCAGGGCCAGGATCTCTGGAGTGTTAGCCTTGAAGCGTACGCCAGAACATGGCCATTCATAGTCATCAACGTAGAGACCCTCGTTAGCCAATCCATGTCCTACTATATCCCTTTCACCTGAAAATACACAGCAAGTTATCTTTGTACATGTATAACCAACAGATATTTGAAAATTTACACATATACATGTATAATGGCTTCCTAATACTATTTTCAGCAAGTATTGTTTTGGAATCCATTATTTACATTTTATTGCTTTATAATTTTGTTCTTGGTCATACTTTGACCCTTTGCAATGTTGATTTAGGTATCTCAATTATGTAGTCAGTTAATTCTAATCTAGGTTACACTGTACATGTATTATTGGATTATACAGATGGTGTACCTCAGGTTACATCTTATATTTACGGTTCTGGAATTTGTAGTCAGTTCACTGTCTTCAGGTTGCACTGAACATTGAGGTTTCTGGATAATACACAGTTCAATAAGAGGTTGCGACAAATATTCATGTTTCTTGATTTCATAACACTTTATTTCAGGTTGTTATATAACCTACATTTGTTGTATACATGTATTAATGTTTCTTGATTTCATAGTTGGTTTATTTCAGGTTGCACAAAATAATTAGATTTCTTTATTATAACGACAGTTTCACTTCAGGTTGCACTGTATATTACCATATAGGTTTCTTGATTTTATAAATGGTTTACTTCAGCTTTAGATTGTGTTGTAGATTTAGTTTTATGGACTAATACGGCCATACGTTGAGTTTTACATACAAGTTCATATATTCTCATCATTACATTATTTTATTTCTGTTACTTGTTACTTATTTCTTAATACTCATTCACCCCTGAAATTTCATAATGAACTATTCCATTATTTAGACCAACCTATACAATTGAGAGTTCAAATGTGTCTCCAGGGGAAAATGAGTTAATTGAATATAAAGTAAAGAGTCCTAACAACTCTCACTAGTTCATGCCATTCTGTATGTTTTTGAATCCGCAATATCATGCATAATACAGGCACTGAAAATACTAAATGTGTGGGGACAGTCGTGACAGGTTTGTTGAACTGAATATGGCATTAAATGATCTTTTTTTCATGTGTGAAAACCTGTTAATATTTGATCGATACATACAAGATAAATACAGTAAGGTTTATCAATCTGATCCCTAAATATCAGTACAACGTGAACCAGTATATACAACCCTACCAATAAGCTACAATTCACGTAGCTATAGTTACCTGTCATAGGATAATACTTGTCCTTTATTTCTTGACTTGTCTGTTCCATGGGATAGGTCTGAACTTGTTTGAGGTTTACAACAGCTGTACAAGACCGCACTTGCTGCCATCGTATTTTGTTGCCTAGACGCCTCAGAATCAGCTGCCCACTCATTATGGCTGCTGGAAAAAAAGAATAATCTGAATATATAAAATATGGATACATTGCACAGCAGTGAAGATTGAGTTTTAACACGATTCTTACATCAAATACAATGAACAGTCATGGCGTGAAACTTTCTGAAGTTCAGTTAAATCCTCTTCAATCTAAAGTACATTGTAGCCTATAGTTAAGTACATTGTAGCCTATAGTTAAGTACATTGAAGCCTATAGTTAAGTACATTGTCGCCTATAGTTAAGTACATTGTAGCCTAAAGTAACATAAATGTAAGTACATTGTAGCCTAAAGTTCATAATGAACTATAGGCTACAATGTACTTAACATTGTACAAAATTTAACTGAACTTCAGAAAGTTTCACGCCATGACAATGTAATGAGTGTGACAAATACATGTAATGAGTGTGACAAATACATTGACAACTTAACAAGAATTTACCTTACAAAAATATAAATGGCAGAGGTTCAGTTTGCGCCGCTTTGTGGGCAAGACAATTATGAAGACTAGTTTGATCTTTTGATGCAAAAGAATCTTCAATGTGACTACATAACAGCAAAATTCTCAAAATCTTTATGAAGTGGAAACATATTGCTAGCCTCCGGACTGGGAAATTTTCTAGTTTCAATCACTTTACACTCCTGTGTTGTCAACGCTATGTGCATCACTTCCGGTCGGAACACAAAAGATAGCTGCTGGTGAATGAAAACTTATAACTACATTGCTCAACAGAATATTGAGCTCTATAATGTCAGTTGATATATATGTTTACATTCAAAGTTTACAGCATACTGAATTCACTTAATGGTATGGCAAGTATATATATATGTATACTGGCATGGTCACAAGTGTTTTCGAGGTCAGTCAAACAGTGCAGTCAGCAACAGCATTTCTGACTGGGAAAATCCATAAACATTGACCTACATTTTTGGACGATTTTCGAGTACATAGATTTGCTATTAAACAATATAGCACTTGTTGTACTATTTCTGATCAATTCCTCACTCCAAAGTTTAACAAAAGTACAAGCCTCTCTATTTTAAATTCTGTTTACAGTGAGTCTTGAACATTTTGTTCATGTCCCCGCAAAGTCTTTTATATATGCTAGTGCTGTTAGGTTCAATTTCCTTAATCTTTCTGGATAGTCTAGGCCCTTCATCTCCAGTAGATATTTCATAGTGTGACGTTTGTGCGCTTTCCAACATATGTATAATATCCTATATAGCCATGATTTAATTAAGTCTTGGTCACTTTTTAAATTAATTGCTGTTATATTTTAAAACGATTGCGATTGTACATTGATAAATGTGATTTACTATCAATAAAAATTTGATGAATCGACTCGTATTAGTTTGTTCTGATAATAAAGTCACAGAAGTTCACATTTTGTCAATAAATTGTAAAATTTTGGAGAGCTTTAAACGTGGCGAAATACCTATTTCATTTTGTAGAGTTAACTGATTTATGCAAGTTACATGAAATTTTGATTGATATACAAATGAACTTTGCAAATTCTTTGGTTACTGAATCAAAGGTCATTTAATATTACAAATTACCTTTTTTAATGCCATCATGTATACATGTAATACTGTGGTAAAACTTAGATCTACCAACAAATGGCATACTTTTAAAAAAATCAATGATATTTGGTCTTTAAAAAGGCACTATAAAATCAGGCCTGCTCATTATCAGAAATGTTGTCGTTCGTTACGTATACGTGACATTTAACATTCATATCGAAAGCAACGTAAAGCAAGGTCATGCGAAGGATTATGTATGAAACATAACTGAATGCATTAGATATGTGTTGGAAAAACATATCACCTCTATGCTTAGCAAGCTGAACTTTCACATATAAACATGTTTTTTACATGGATGAAAGATCCTAGATGGAGATTCAAAAAGAAACTTACCTTTTCACAACGAGCTCCAACCGGGAAAAAAATGGAGGTCTCACTCGTTAGTGATCCGAGTTAAGGAAACGCTTATTAAAGTAAATATAAATTCCACATGTCAATATTCGGTCCGCTTCAGACCGCCTTACCATAGTATATAAACCGTCTTTAACTTTATAATGTTACATATATTTAGCACAAACACCAGTCTTCAACAACGTTCCAAAAATAAATCCATTGCAACATGTAACGTTATAAGCTTACACTGTCTTTCAAACTATATTAATTTGGATAGAGGCAGCAATGCCTGCCTCCACAAATATCCTAATGATATTAAACAAATTACATTGGTAACCATATCATATAAAGTGAATATATTTAGTGACGTGCCATAAAAGCACACCCTTCTCATAAAAAATATGAGTACGGTGTGATTGTTTTTCTCATGACTATCTTTATTGACAGAAACAAATGCGTTTCGTCTATCGTTCGAAGGATCCCGGGTTCGAATCCCGAGCCCGTATTCATGATGAAACCGTTCTCATGCTCAAGCATGGATTTTGTGCTCAAGACTAAATTTCTTGTTCCAGTTATAAATTATTTAAAAAATCTTATTTTGTTAAATTTTTGGACAAAAATTGAAGAAACATGAAGCCAAATACTGTTTTCAATATTTAAATTTGACTTTTTGATCGTTGACATGATTTACTGAGGTGGGTTACAATAAAGCTGGCTTGAGCATGTACAGAATCCATGCTTGAGCATAAGAACGGTTTCATGAATACGGGCCCGGTCTGGCCGTGCATTTCACCCCTCCCCCTGTTACAGTGTTGCTTGTTGCTTCAAGTACTGGCGGGGTGAATGCTTGGCAAGGGGATACCCGAACATTGGTTGTAAATAAATTATGCACGTGTTTTCGGGCGACGGATGGCCTCTCGAGATAAATAACTCCTCAATTATTATCGGAGGAGATTTCAACCTCCCTGGATGGGACTGGGCAAATGAAATTATAAAACCAAATACAGACCACCTAAAAAATCATTATTGCTTTGGTGACATGGGGTTTACCAGTAATTATAAGTCACTTCACCACTCAATGACAACGCGCTTGACCTTATCATTACTAACAACCCTAATAATCAAGTACCAAGTATCGAGACCATTCCTAGCCGATATCAGAACATGATGCTATTTTACTTGAACTTTGCCATGTCTAAAGGACGGGAAAAGGGTAAGTTGGGAGACGGTGAGCACATGCAGGGACCTGAGAATTTGTAACAGCCATATTTGGTCGGTGAGAAGCGAACATTCCTTCATCTACCTTGATATTTCTATCTACACAATTCTAACTATTTTAAATGGTTAACATTTTCTCCCCCTGTAAGTCGACACTAACGACTATAACCTAAGCAAAAGATCTGGACCTACATCAAGCACAGACATTTTTTTTACCAATTCCAAAGATAAACCGAATATCTTGACAACCAGTTCCACTTTGAATTAAGAGATGATGGCCGAACGTGCCAGATAGGCAGTCTTGGTCAATTGCCCCGTCATCATGGGCCGAACCTCCCCCAAATTGATATTTCAATACATTCGTATATTACAGCGATACCAATGTTATGCTTTACTGTATACCATCATGTGAAGCTGGTATATCTATGACAAAATAAGTAAGTTGCAATTCGGTTGAAGTGAGGTCATGATTTTCCTTTTACCTTTCCATAAGTCCCTATTAGTAGTTTTTCTCGACATTTTTCGTGTGAAAAAACAACTAAACTGCTAAGATCTTCAAAGTTAACTAAATATTGGCCCAAGAAAAAACCACCAGGGGTGTTCGGAAAACCCGGTCTCTCCTATATTAACATTGCTGTGGTTTTGATTTGATAGTAATTGCCAACATTGCTGCTGGGACACTTTCAACATTTTGTTTTTGCTTTTTTTTCATATCTAAAGTCGCATTCTCTATCGTTGTGATAATTCTTTTACTAGGAAAAACACATAATGAATTCACCATGGATTTTTATTTTCAATCTATTCATCTTATAAACCGCTTTCAGATGTTCTGTAAGGCTTGACTGTCCGTCGTTCCCTAAGTGTCCTCTACATAGCATTTAGTACGCCCTCCCATACAAGCAAAGCGTCAAGATGACAATGATTTGTCGTGACGTGATGAGAAGTGACTTCACCAAACTAAACTAAAATTAAGTGGAAGAGCTTTTAGAAGAATTGTTGTAATTCTTTCATGGACTCAACATGCAGCAGCAAGATTTGTCACTCAGTTTGACGATTTTCTCCTACGTGTTTCTCGTACGCATTGAAACAGTTGTTAACTGATCCTGCTTCCGTCACCATATTGGATTTGATCTAAGTCTGATGCCGATGGCAGAAATATTATTGTGAATATTAGGCTTAAAGTTAGGCCTATTCACCGACGTAGCATCACATATTATTGTCTGTTATATGAAAATATGTAGATGTTGGTGAAATTTGTCATAATTTAATATGTAAAAGAGGTATATCGCCTCGAGCAATCACGAACATTTTCGACCGTGTATCTGTAAGTTGACTAGTTAGCCCCTAGTTGACTCCAGTTGAGTTCGTATTTGAGGTTATGCTTGGGCTTATACGGAAACGACTTCCAAGGATGACGGGTCATTTCCGTAGTAATGTGTGGGATCCAGTGTTAATTATTGCCCAGATCGTCGCCATGCAAAGCCAGTTTTATTTACTGCTGGGAATCTGGAGCTACATTATGAACATGATTGGCAAATTTGATTCCTCTTTAGATCAAGTGTTCACTCAAACAGTAAGTGAAGTAACTAACGGTATTTTAACGAATTAAACGAGTAATTATGACTGAGGACCTTATGTATAGGTTCATGTTGATATAAATAGATCATAGAATATTCTCTTGTTTAACAGGTTGGGCACAACGGCACATATGGGTAATAATCCTGCATTTGGGCAACATCTTTGTATGTTATGGTTGAATGCACTTCGAATCTACTTTCACTATCCTATATAAAAAAATCAAAATTTTGTACGTTACTATCTTTATTAAAAATTGCTGTTTATATGGTTATTATAAACAACTTTTGGTTGAACGTTTTTTCGTGTTTTGACATTTTCGTGATTTTAGATGTCCCGACTTTCAAAACCGAAAACTGTTCAACCAAAAGTTGTTTGTAATAACCAATAGATATGGCGATTTTCAATAACGTAAGTGAAGTCCATTTTTTTTATTTTTTAAAGATGTTACCCAAATGCAGGATTATTACCCATATGCGCCGTTGTGCCCAACCTGTTAAATGTGAAGTGGGACTGTGTCATTCTAGCATTTCAAACCAGAATCCAGGACAGCGATTAAGGTTTATTGGTGAAAGGAAATGTTTCGATACCAATAATAAAATCAACTGACAATGAAAAGATGAATTTGAATTTTGGAACAAATACAAAATATCACATTGAGTATCTTATCCCTAGGCCTGTGGAAAGTGAACTGGTGTTGTATGAATTAAGAGGCCCTGGGGGTATACAGTAGATCATAATTAATACTCCAAATGTTACACTCACTTTCTCTCTGCACCCCTGGAATGTGTCATGACCAAACTGAAGGCTTATAATTAGTATGCACCACCTTGTGTAAGGTACAAGTAGACTAGTCCTTTGATGAACAAGAATTGAAAAAAAATGTATAGGCTTTGAAGTTGAATTTCACTCCTCTGTTATCTTCAAAGGACAAGTATCAGTCTTGCAATTGGTCAGATTATTTTTACTTGTGACCAATTAAATAGCTTCCTTCATGCCTTCCATTTTGCCAAATAACATATTCCATGGGTGCAGAGAGTGTAAGTGAGCATAACCCACCACTGCCCTGGAGTACCAAGGTTAGGTATATGTATACAGAGGTCATACATTGATTTTCAGAAAGACAAGTGCACAGGTTTTGAGTAGGAATGAAGGGATTTTAATCTCAGTATTGGTATAAAGGATGATAGGTAAGGATCCCTTGGCCAAAGAGGAACAGTGTTGACTGTAAAAAACAAAGAATGGGCTCAGGGAGGTGAAGCCAAAACGGGAAACAGGGAGTAAAGCTTAGCTTTTCATGGGGTGAATGAAGGGATTTTGCCCTAATATGGTTACCGTATAATGGATCCCAGGACCAAGGAGACTCAATGTTTAAGCTTTGAGTGTATGCCAATACAATGCCCTAACCAAGGACCTGATAAGGGAAATAAGAATACATTTTAATAATACCATAGAAATCTGACCCTGTTTGTTAAAATTATCCTCACTGAGATTAAATTACATGTCTGTGTGACAGAATGTATTCCTACATGAACTTGACTCTCCTTTCAGGATATTGATGTTTTAGAAGATTCTGGACGACTAAATGTGATTGCATTCCTACTCAACAGTTTGACAAGGTCAGTGATTTTATACGACCACCGCTTCTTTCCTGAGCAGTACATAGCATTAATGTTGTCCTGGCAGACAGCCTGACAGTCTGAAGTAATACAGATTTTATGTGGTTGCTTTACATGTTGGACATATTCATGAATAATTGTAATAGGTAATTACAGCTGTAAACAGCAACAATCTCTCGGTATATTATTAATGCATATGTTGGTTTCTTTTATTTACTGATATGTCAACTGTTAATCAATATAACAGGGTAGCAAATAAAATGAGGGACATTATATTGAATAGAAACATTATATAGATGAAAGACATTATATCGACAAGAGACATTATATCAACTGGAGACATTATATCAACAGGAGACATTATATCAACTGTAGACATTATATCGACTGTAGACATTATATATCGACTGGAGACATTATATCGATGGGAGACATTATATCGACTGGAGACATTACATCAACTGTAGATATTATATCGACCGGAGACATTATATCAACTGTAGACATTATATCGACCGGAGACATTATCACGACGGGAGACATTATAACGACTGTAGACATTATATCGACTGGAGACATTATATCAACTGTAGACATTATATTGACGGGAGACATTTTATCCACTGTAGACATTTTATCGACGCGAGACATTATATCGACATGAGACATTATATCGACGTAAGACATTGTATCAACGGGACACATTTATATTATATTAAGGATTTACCGTGTATGTCCAAATGTCCATCATATTCCTTACAACTGAACTCATTTTGTATTTCTGTATTTCAGTGCGCTTGCCTTGTGGTTCATAGTTCAGAGAACAAAGCTGTGTTTAGACTTTTCTGTGACAGCTCATCTGCTTCACTTCCTCGGCTGTTTAATATACAATAGCCACATCCCAAGCACTCTCCCTTGGTGGATCATCAATGTCATCAGCATAGCTCTCATGACTGTTACTGGGGAATTCTTGTGTATGCGAACAGAAATGAAAGCCATTCCACTCAGTATGGGGCCGAAGGCAGATTTGTGATCAAAATAGGTTTTATATGGTCAATATTTATTTATTCATCTCATCATATGTATATAACATAGCATGCATGTGAAATATAAAATAAATATCCTTAAATACATTGTATTTAAGTGTGGTATTAATGTTTTACATTTTTTTTATTGAATAAGTAAAGTTTGTCAGAAAATCAGCTTGTATCAATGGCAATATGTTAACAGATGTTGTTTTAAATGGAATTGTAGAGTGATAATCATATCTGATTCTATTTGAAGAAGCTGATGTTTGTATGAATTTTGAGTAGGATTTGCTGAAAATTTAATATTAGTTATACAGTTATTATCATAGATAAAATCATATCACATCAAAATGTATTGAGAGTTTTACAAAAATTATAAGGATTAACTTGAATATATTTTTCATGGTATGGAGCTATAACACAAAAAAACGGAGTGTACTCTAATCATAAACCGCAATCCGCTTTTATTGGTGCACTCTTTTCTCTTAGAAATTATTGCGCCGTAGTATCAGCCAATCAAAAGTGACATTACAAACGGCGACGTCATTTTTTACATTATGGGCTAATAACATAAATTTTTAAGCAAATGAAAATGCTTGTTACAAGCAAGATTAAATTATAACAAAATATTATTTCTCAACTTGAGTACTACATATAAACTATACATCTTGCGACGGGTCTTACAGAATTATAGATGTTTGAAGATCTGTGTATTTGAAAACAAAATTGACAAAAACAGCAGGGATCAAACTCAGGACCTATCCTATGCTAAACCTACACTTTACAAACGTTGCTATCTAAAATTATAAATGCACAGCATCATAATGAAAGACGATGACTTGACAAGGAAATAAGACTAAGTCAGAAAAACGCCTGATTGCTTCATTGACTATAATTGCTGTATATCAAAGTGGGAACATTTTAAGAATACCTGTACCACTCAAAAACTGAAACTACAAAATGAGAACTTTTTCCTTTAATATGACGTTTCTGAAAAGAAACCCATTCCTAGTGGAACTTAAAGGTAGTTAAGATGAAATTGTGAATAAAACTCCACCAACAGCAGTGGTTTTGAGAACAAATGCAACTGGGCGTGATTGGAATTCCAACCCAAGACTGGACTCCAATCACAATTTGCTCGCCCTAAATATAACCCTCTGAGCTACTTGATCAGAGATACCATGTTCCCTAGCCTAATTCTATTACAGTAATGTCTACAAGAGGCCCAAGGACCTGCATTAATCACCTGGTATTAATTTCACACTTGAAACCTTAAAAGTGGACTAAAATAAAGCTACAGGCAGAATACCAGCATCTATGGCTTTGACTCATTTAAAAGAACTCTTTTTTTTTTATTCAGAAGAAGTTGTTTGAAGCTTTTAAACATATTTGACACCTTTGACTTTGAATATATTTAGGTCAAGGTAATTTATTTGAACTTGGTAGCTCTTCATCCCAGCATGTTACTGTCCAAATATCATCCCCTTGTGCCTTTTGGTAATTCAAAAGAATGTGTTTGAAAGTTTTTTTTAAGATAAATGACCCCTTTGACCTTGAAAATTGGCAAAGGTCATTTATTGAAGAACTTGGTAGCCCTTCATCCCAGGATGCTACTGGCCAAATACAACCCTAGGCCTCTTGGTTTTTCAGAGAAGTTGTTTAAAATGCCCAGGAGGACTGAAGATGCTCACAGTTCTTTCACAAATTTCCTAGCAAGTTTATGGTAAAATATTATGCCTCCATAGGCCTTTATAGTTCTTCAGATGTCAAAAGATTTGGTTCTCCATGCCAGCAATCTATTTGTTATATATATATCATAACTCTAAGTTAATGTACAAGATTCTTGTTTAGGATTTCCAACATGGGACTGGGTAATTGTATTTGTAAGGAAAATGAAGAGCAAAGAAAGTAAAAGACTATCTTTTGTAGATCTGATAAAGATCCTTTCATGGTAGGTACCAAAATCCTTCTAGGATCTCTTGTTAAGATGTTAGTTGACCAAATCGCTCCTTTAGGCAGGCTTTAATGGTAATTTCAGACATAACAAAACTTTTCATACATAATAATTAAACAGTTGAGTGAATCTGAAAAAGACAATACAAATTGATACGGAAAGGTGACTCCATGAATAAGTATAAACAAGGGTTTGCAAGATACATGTGCAAGTATTTTATGGTAGTCATATTTTATGATATTTTTTCCTTCTTGCTGGAACAATATGTTTATCAGTTTGTTTCTTGTTCAAAATAGCAACTTCCCTGAAGAATTATCACTGTACGACCGTTTTTCACAATTTCTTATTAATTAAGTTGGTAAGTGATGGAGCATCAACACCGAGGATTCCGTGTTGAACATATTTCAGAACCTGTCCTGATGATGGTTGGCCTAGGCATCTGAAACGTGTGAACTAATAAAACATATATTTACGGAATCCTTGGTGTTGATGCTCCATCGCTTACCTACTTGTATTTACCTCCCTTCGGTGGAGCTCTACTAGAATACTTCGGTATCCACCTGGGATCCCTACACCAGTACATCAACCAACCACTACCCACAGGTCGTTGGATCTCCTCGCCCAATAATAACACATGTAATGGTGTACGAATACCTGTATTTATTTCTAAAATTTCGTGAAATTTTCGAAGTTTTCCTTAGGATATATTTAGTATAAGATCCTGGCAGAACATTCTTGTGTGGATTGGTTTTCATGATATTGCCAAGGTGCCCATAAGAGATCACAGTTGACTAGTAATGGCAGGTACCTCAAGCTAGTTTGCAAGGAGTGTGGAATACGATGTAGATATGCCATACCATTGTTATATCTGATAGCTAGAGATAAAATATTCCTTATGAGAGATACAATGTGTAAGATACAGATGTAATGTTATATAAACCTTTTTATATATAAAATGAGGGGTGTAAACATAGGAAGAGTGTGTGCCAATCACCATTTTGAGATGTATTTACACATTACAGAGAGATCATCAACTTATATTTTGTAGAAACTATTATTACTAAAATCCAAAAGCAGCACAGTATTCAGTCTGCACTCTATACGAGTCAATTCATTCCAAATTTTAAATGGCTCTGCCGAAAAAAGCTGAATTTGGTTCAGCGCAACTTCAGTTGAACTTGACAATTATAAAATACAAAGCGAAGGACAGACTTTATAACTTATTGGTGTATTTATTGCATAACTACAACAAGTAAAAGAAAATGTTCAAATTCAAGTCTATAACAATGACTGATGTCAAAGCAGCACTTCAATATTTACTATAACTTACAGGTATAGACTCCATATAACCAGCCCATCATCTTATATTATCTTGTCACAGATATTACATGTAATTTGGTACAAGTATATATCCTGCAGTCCATATTTTCATATGAACTTTACAATAGCCAAGAAAATCTTGGTACAAGCAAGACTCTTGGCAATGATAATAGATAATATATATATATCACAGCCAAGGTACACTAAATACATTTTAGTGGTAAAATTAAAACCAGTATGCTTGTAAATTTAGTAAAATCTAAATTTAAGGGTTCAATCATAAACACTCGAGCACAATAAAATTTAATGATTTAAGTTTTTTTTTTTGTTTTCATGCCATATTCTGGAATATCTTTGGTCTAATTTTTCAAATCATTCTGTCACAAAAAAAAATTGCAAGACAAAGCATTGCATGGCAACTTCAACTGTGACATCATTTAATAGAGTTACATATTACCAGACTGAGACAATACTTTTACTGTTGATAGCGAGTTGAAATTATTATGCTGGATACAGTGCAAATGGTAACGGATTTTGTTACTGCTTGAATGAAAACTTAATTGAAAATTAATCAAAAAATTGGATGGGAACTTCTTGAATAATAACTGGATTGCTAAACACAAAATCAATGTGCTAACATTTGTTAAAATTCTCTACAACCTTGTACAGTTAGAGGTTAAGTTAACTGGTTTGTTTCATCGACAATATTATTATTAAAAAAATAATCCATTCAATGATTGAGCGCCCTTTACAACGGTAGAGAGTACATTTACCAGTATAATTCTATAGTACACAGTATTGTAGTACATGACAGTCGCCACATTTTAATGAAGTATAACAGCTGTTACAGAGCGATTATGTAAATCAAAATCCCTATAAAGAGATATTTTAAGTCTACTCGTGAAAGTACCCATATAAAGAGATATTTTAAGTCTACTTGTGAAAGTACCCATATAAAGAGATATTTTAAGTCTACTTGTGAGAGTACCTTTAAAGGGTTTGAAAAATGGAAAAAAATGGCAATAATAAAGAAATCCTACAGTCATATTCAGACACTATTTGTCTGATTATAATAAGTGTTATACAGTTAAATGAACCTGTATATATTCAGTCTTGGGTACTTACGTACATGTAACAACAGACCGATATGGATTGACCAGTACACATAAATATGGATTTACCAATACACATATGAACTGACCAAGACACATATGGATTGACCAGTACAAATAAATATCAACTGACCAGTACTCATAGATATGAAGTGACCAGTACACATAAATATGGACTGACCAGTAAACATATGGTTTGTACATCCAGTACACATAGATATGGACTGACCTTTACTAATATGGCTTGACCATACACATAGATATGGACTGACCTTTACTAATATGGCTTGACCATACACATCAATATGGACTGACCAGTACTCATATTGCATGACCATACACATATATATATAGACTGACCAATACATATATGGCTTGACCATACACATATATATGGACTGACCAGTACATATATGGCTTATGTCCAGTACATATTCAGTTAAGTAACAACATTGTGAGCACATTTACGACTATGACAACACAGTAACATCACATCAGATGACTTGATACACTTTCGCCACTCCAACAGTCACTTGTAAATTACTTAATATGGTAGGTACAGTATTACCTAACCAAAGTGTTACAATAACAAGCTCTAGTATATATGACAGCAATAGAATATCTCTGCTAAGTCCTCCCTTAATTGTACAGGTGTATGTTGTACATGACTAGGTCATTCCGACTTGACAAAAAAAGTCCATGGTCTCTCCCATTAAATATGGTTTATCAACTGAATGAAATTTTCCTTTTTTTGTGGTCCTTCATCACACGGTATTGTCCTTTAAGGACTTCCGTGTCCTAGTAAGCTGTTGAAGCCCTATCTCCTGCTGCGTGTTGTCCTCATACCGTCAGAGCCTCGTAGGAAGGACCATCAGCCTCCGGATTATTTTTCCTTAGTTGTAAATGTTCTGTTGTGTTTTGAAAATGTTTGTTTATTTGTTCTGTTTCTTCGTTGGCTTCTAGGTTCGGTATTAATTCTTTTATTTTTGTTATTAGTTGGTTCAACACCTGCACAGTGATCTGAAAAAGATAAAGAACAGTTTTCGCTTTGTTATATCAACCCAGAGTAAATTTCAGACACATACAATTTACAAAAGTACCAACAGGGCGAAACAATCAATTCATTTCCCCCCGTTTAGCACCAATATATTTCACTGTCCATATATGTCTTTTTTTAAAGAACTACTTTATGTTTCCTTCAATTTATTGCCAAACCCCTTTATAATACCAACATTTTTTCAGACAAAGTGTGGCGTTATAACAAGGTTTTACTGTACATGACTTGAGAGCTAGTGGAAGGAATATATATGTGTTATGTCCTTTAATACCTTTAGAAACTCTTAATTGTATAGGGACTGCCTCTTAATGCTCCGTTACTCTATTAAACTATAAGTATGAAAATAAATGAAATTCCTGAATACTGTTTAACCACAGACAGATTTCACTCAAATTTGACCCTGGCTTTTGTTTAGAGTATAAATATTGACCAATTTTCATCAGAATGCGGTCATATTTGAATGTTGTAGTGCCGAAACTGTTGACCAATCGGAGCACAGTTTGCAAAATAATTATGCACACATTTTTATTCTTCTTTAAACAAAGGCTTTTAGTCTTTGTATGTTGTATGTGCTTACTCAGTTTCATCAAAATTGAATATTATCAAAGTAAGTTATCTTGCAGAGAAACAAAGTGTGGGTGGACAAACAGATGCCCTCCATACCATAAAATATTCCATGATGGGTATATAAAAAGTAACAAGCTATAAAATATGTTCATATAAAAAGAACCAAAATAGGTAGTTGTAAGTATTATGTATTACAATTTATAGTACATGTACTAAGCGAAAGGTTAAAGGCAGAACAGTTGTTTGTTTGTGTTCTACGTCCTATTAACAGCTAGGGTCAATTAAGGACGTGCCAGGTTTTGGTTGACAAGAAAAAACCAGCAACCTAAGGCCGGTACCTGGCGACTGCCCCACGTAGGCCTCGAACCTGCGACCTGTTGTAATACGTTTAGAATCAGATGAAAATTATATCAAACAACAGCTTAGCTGCAGTTATTGTAACATTAAGGCTAGTGCATAGAAAATGTTTTACTTCCTAAACAATTAAGCAGTAATACAAGTATTACAGGACTTACCTGGTTGCAGCCTCAGTCATAGTAGTATATATAATGGTTTAGCAGTAATACAAACATTAACAGGACTTACCTGGTCACAGCCTCTCTCGTAGTAGTATATATAATGGTTTAGCAGTAATACAAACATTAACGGGACTTACCTGGTCACAGCCTCTCTCGTAATAGTATATATAATGGTTTAGCAGTAAAACAAACATTAACAGGACTTACCTGGTCACAGCCTCTCTCGTAGTAGTATATATATAATGGTTTAGCAATAATACAAACATTAACAGGACTTACCTGGTCACAGCCTCTCTCGTAGTAGTATATATAATGGTTTAGCAGTAATACAAACATTAACAGGACTTACCTGGTCACAGCCTCTCTCCTAGTAGATATATAATGGTTTAGCAGTAATACAAACATTAACAGGACTTACCTGGTCACAGCCTCTCTCGTAATAGTATATATAATGGTTTAGCAGTTCCACATAAAGCTGGACCTGTACCGAGTCGTCCATACACTGGTTAGCTATCTTCACTCCTTTCTTCAGACAATCTGCAACTCTCTTTCCATCCTGCATCTGGAAAACACAATGTGTAAACAAATTTCAAATTTTTTTGAAATACTTGTACATTATTCTTAAATTTCCTAGAATAAATGTTTCAACAGGATATTCCTCAGAATATGTTAGCATATCTGCTTTAAAAAATAAATAAAAATAAATTGAAAATGAAAATTGAAACTAGAATTATGTCAGTGTGACATTAAAGCCGCTCACCACTTTAAATTGAATTGCTTCAGTAACACGTTGAGCATCAATATCTACTATAATACCTCAGATATGTGTTCGGTATTCTGCTAATTGAAAATCAGGTCATGTGATGATGTTGCCTTTGGAATTTCCAAAATCAATCACCTCTTAAATGATGCCTTAAAAAAATTCTCCCTCTCCTCTTTTTTTACCCTCTTTAATGGCGACGCATTGTTGTAATTTTCATTAATTAGCATCCTCCGATGATGTGACATGAGCATTTACGTGCATAATGGCAATCGGTGAATGGATAATAGAGAATAGGTGCATTTTGTGCTTGTGAAATGAAGGGTGTTCTCCTTTTATTTTTATTTATTTTTTATTCATATTAATAATAATTATAATATATGTAGTGACTTTATTAACTGTTATTGAATGAATTATATTTCTCAATGAGACTTTACCAACGTAAGAGTTATTTCCCTTACACCGAATTGGATAATATTTTGAAACGGCGCGAATTCTTGTCAAACAGCAGCTGCAGTTGTGTCATGTTCTTAAATTGTTACATTTTCAAACTAAATACACTAGAAAAACCATGCTGTGTTACAGAAATGTTTGATAAGCATACACGGTTCACATATCGTCTCGTCTCAAAGCGATTACCGTTATCAACCTAAGCACGATATGTCATATTACGTTCCCGTTTGAAACATCAAAATAAAGGTTATACTTGAAAATACTCAAACGGTTTATAAGCATATATATTTACTTCCTCCTTATACAGACAGCATCAATGCTTGATAGTCTTCACATGTGCTTTCTCGAATCATATGTGTTTCACACGCGTAAACCTCCTCAGACCTCAATCCGAGTTGCTAAAACGCTCAAACTCAGTGCATGAATTTCACCACCACAACGCTCGTAGAATGCACCGGAGATAAACATTATGTTTTCGGCAATTATTTAAAGTATGGATTATTATTTGGATAAGAGTATCAGAAGACTTTATGTAACCCACATGTGAGTGTCAGAGATTCTACTTTCTATTTACGATAACGAAACTATATAGCGGAAGCATGCAAGACTATAATATGCGCACGCACCCCGAACGGAAGTGGGTCCGTCATTTCGTTCTCTGGACAGAATTAATAAGCCGCTCGGCTCTCGCCAAGAGCTGCTTAAAAATGAAACAAACCTAAATATTTCTGAATTAAATAGGTTTTGAATATTTTTGGATTTAAAAAGTAAAAATTGTGATCATACCGGACCATCGGAGGTCGAGGTTTTACCCGACCAGAACAGGTGTGAACAGGTTGACACCCCACGGCACTGGTCTGGTTTCTTGAGAAGTTTGGAAGCGGCCAGGGCACACTGGGTCCTCAGGGGCTCGTGGTTCTCCTCCCCAAAGCAGGACATCTGCTCCAGTGTTCCAATGATGAGGGTGATGGCTGCTAGCTGTGCTTTGCTATCACTGATTTCATCCTCGTAAAGCGAGAATGCCTGAGGAAATAGAACATGTAAGGTCAAGAATAAATTGTGATATTGGTATTTTGTAATACAGTCTCCACAATATCATAGGAATATTGCTTGCCCCTATGTGGTTATGTCATTCAAGGAGTTCTTTGCCCTTTTAAAGCCAATTTTATTCCTAATGTCTAGGAGTAAAATACAATATTACATTGAAGATCCTCAACCAACAAATTTCACAAAAATACTAAACAATGTATGAGAGACAAAAATGCTCTTCCCAGGCCTTCCATCCATCAACGAAGGGATCAAATTAGTCTTCTTGTCTCATCCACAAGTTGGCCCACACTGAACCTTCAATTTTGCTATGACATATAACATGGGTATTGAGAGTGAAATTGAGTGTAACCCCTCGAATATCGAGGATGGTAGAGAAGAGGTGACAAAGAAATGTTATCGTAATAACAGCAACCTTCACCTTGGATCTACGACCTTAAATATCTGTGTACTGAATACTTTTATATAACTTTGTCAAGCAAAAAGAAAAGTTAATGTGATAAAGCATAAATGGGACTGACGTAAAATCATAGGTAATGCCAAATGTCCCCCTTCCCTTTCATGGCAGGCATGAAAAACATGAGAAAAAAATTACTATGTTATCATTTTGTGCATTATATTACCCGAGTAGACTCTCCCAATTTTCCTAAACACAGAATGAAATTTCCTTATTCTATTTCCCATATTAGCGAAATTAAGTAAAAAGTTACTTACTTGAGACATAAACTCATATGCCACTGTTTCATGATTTTCAAACTCAATCTGTCCAGCGGCCATAGCACCCTGGAGAAACAATCTGAGCGGGATTTCTGCCATGTCTGCCTTGATCAGAGCCCCTATCGTCTGGTGGCAGAACTGGAAAATCTTCTGACATTTCCTCTCCCAGTTCTCATCCTGTAACAAAACAACTTGCTGTAATGGGGGAAATACAATGTCTTATGACAGAAAGTATTCCATACAAGAGGCCCATGGGCCTAAACGGTCACCTGAGTCTACAGTATTTATTTTTGTTGTTGAAATATGTACCAATTTGAGTAAAAAATAGTATAATGTTAACTTAACTTTGTCAGGACCATGAGCTGATCATTCCTAGACCAATTTTAAGTGAGATCGGCCTATTAGAACTTAGTAGCAAAATAGCGGCCATGGCAGCCAAATTGTATTTCTGATTGACCCGAAAAATAACAACACTTTGTCAGGACCATGATTCGATCATTCCTACAAAGTTTCAGTTCAATCGGCCAAGTAGATCTTTACTTTAAGTTTGAAATAGTTTTCCAAAATGGCAGCCGTGGTGGCCATATTGGATTTCTGATCGACCCGAAAAATAACAACACTTTGTCAGGACCATGAGTCAATCATTCCTACAAAGTTTCAGTTCAATCGGCCTAGCAGAACTTGACTTTAAGTTTGAAATAGTTTTTCAAAATGGCGGCCGTGGCGGCCATATTGGATTTCTGATCGACCCGAAAAATAACAACACTTTGTCAGGACCATGAGTCGATCATTCCTACAAACTTTCAGTTCAATCGGCCCAGCAGAACTTGACTTTAAGTTTGAAATAGGTTTTCAAAATGGCGGCCGTGGCGGCCATATTGGATTTCTGATCGACCCGAAAAATAACAACACTTTGTCAGGACCATGAGGCGATCATTCCTACCAACTTTCAGTTCAATCGGCCCAGCAGAACTTGACTTTAAGTTTGAAATAGGTTTTCAAAATGGCGGCCGTGGCGGCCATATTGGATTTCTGATCGACCCGAAAAATAACAACACTTTGTCAGGACCATGAGGCGATCATTCCTACCAACTTTCAGTTCAATCGGTCCAGCAGAACTTGACTTTAAGTTTGAAATAGGTTTTCAAAATGGCGGCCGTGGCGGCCATATTGGATTTCTGATCGACCCGAAAAATAACAACACTTTGTCAGGACCATGAGGCGATCATTCCTACCAACTTTCAGTTCAATCGGTCCAGCAGAACTTGACTTTAAGTTTGAAATAGGTTTTCAAAATGGCGGCCGTGGCGGCCATATTGGATTTCTGATCGACCCGAAAAATAACAACACTTTGTCAGGACCATGAGGCGATCATTCCTACCAACTTTCAGTTCAATCGGTCCAGCAGAACTTGACTTTAAGTTTGAAATAGGTTTTCAAAATGGCGGCCGTGGCGGCCATATTGGATTTCTGATCGACCCGAAAAATAACAACACTTTGTCAGGACCATGAGGCGATCATTCCTACCAACTTTCAGTTCAATCGGTCCAGCAGAACTTGACTTTAAGTTTGAAATAGGTTTTCAAAATGGCGGCCGTGGCGGCCATATTGGATTTCTGATCGACCCGAAAAATAACAACACTTTGTCAGGACCATGAGGCGATCATTCCTACCAACTTTCAGTTCAATCGGTCCAGCAGAACTTGACTTTAAGTTTGAAATAGGTTTTCAAAATGGCGGCCGTGGCGGCCATATTGGATTTCTGATCGACCCGAAAAATAACAACACTTTGTCAGGACCATGAGGCGATCATTCCTACCAACTTTCAGTTCAATCGGTCCAGCAGAACTTGACTTTAAGTTTGAAATAGGTTTTCAAAATGGCGGCCGTGGCGGCCATATTGGATTTCTGATCGACCCGAAAAATAACAACACTTTGTCAGGACCATGAGGCGATCATTCCTACCAACTTTCAGTTCAATCGGCCCGGCAGAACTTGACTTTAAGTTTGAAATGTAAAATGTTAACGGACGACGGACGACGACGGACGAAAACGGATAGCAATAGGTCACTTGAGCTAAAGCTCAGGTGACCTAATAAACCAACACTGTCAAACATTACATTTTTGATTTGATTTTTTCTAGTTTTGATAACAAAATGCTGAAACTATTATGTACATAAATATTAATAATGATACTTTGTTTACTGTACAGATCCAGTCATCCCACTATCCAACCAATATTTCCCTTTTTCTTTTCAAAAACTTCACTGTCCGCTTCACAATCTTTCCACTTTAGCTTGGAGTGAAGGTGATTTGATATTCGCATATTGCGAGCACTCATGTATAATGTGCAGGTCCTTTTTGGGGAGGGAAATATTTTTTATTTATTTAAATATATTGAGATACTTGTACATGTATAAGAAAAAAGAATGTCATCATCCCACAAATTATTTTTTTTATAGCGGAGGCCCATACAGGCATATTCATAGTATTAGCAAAAAAAGGCTGTATTTAGAAGACCTGGCTTACCAAGATAGTTTTGTATAGAAAGAATATAAACTGTCCCCTAAAACACTAGCTGAAATTGGGACAACTGGATTAATGGTGGGTGGATTGATGAGACTTGACTATATGAAACTACTAGTACCAGTATGGAAGTGTGGATAGTTGGCTAGTTGCTTAATAATTTGCAGGAAATCTGTAAAATCAAATATCTAACTGACCAATGGGCAATTGTGCTTCAAACAATGTTTTGCCGGGACATTTGATGATGTATCAAACTGATGTTAACTCATTCCCCCCAGAAGACACATTTGAACTCTTCCAATTCAAAGGTGAGAACAGCGCATTATGAAATTTCAGCAATCTTGTATGACCTTATTGGTCAATAAATCTACAAAGAAAAGTCTCTGACCTCTTCCTGAAGGTCCTGATATCTCATAGACAGTCTGTAAGCAGCAAACACAATGGGTGGAAGGGTGAACTTGATCCTCTGGTCACCGCCACTGCCAAAGTGTTTTCTGGCCGTGTTCAGGATCTAAGGGAAATATTATTATTATTCAGAGGATACCAAACATAGTGTCTATTCTACATGTTTATTTTATGGTCTATAGTAAAACCATTGAATTTGTTGGGGTAAAACTTCTTAGCATAAAGTAAAAAAAAAAAAAGGGGGGAGGGGTAGTTGTGACAGGATTCTCATAGTACATACATATTATCAATTGAAAAACATAGTTTTGTGTCAAGTTTTTTGTGTGTGTTTCAATTTTGTTGGTTTTGAATGAAATTTCATGGTTCTACAGTATATTATATGCTACTGTATGGTAGCTATTTTACACATTTACTTTAGAGTTTAGTGTATATAGAGTGAATACTGTGTGAGTTCCATTATTAACATTGTGGAGGTTCTGGTTACGCTTTCTGCCATATGTGCAGGCGGTGTTAAATCTTACCAGATATTGTTGGTTGAGGTCCTCCGCTTGTAAGAGATATATGAATCTTCCCATAATGCCTTGTTCCTCTGCGAAATCCTCAGGATCTTCTGGTTCTTCGGGCTGGTCATTCTGGTCTTGCACTAGCACATTTACAATGTTCAGGATACTGTCAACCTGGAAAAGTGAGTGTCATAGAATTTTTATTGGTAGGATAAAACAACAGGCATTGGCTAGTCAACCAACTAACAAATCACACTACTGAGAACTGGGGCTAGTCAATCAGGGAACAGTTTATATTTCAGGGATGTTAGTCAAAGCCAAAAATAAAACAGTTTCTACTGTAGAGAAGCTAGGGACTAGCAAATTAAGTGAGGTTTCATATTGTGCAGAAGCTAGAACTAACCAGTCTAAAAACAGTTTAATAGGAGCTAGTCAACTCTATAGCAGTTTATACTGCAGGAAAGCTAGGGCTTGCCAATCAAGTGACAGTTTACAATGCAAATAATCTAGAACTAGCCAATCTAGTTACAGTTTATACTGCAGGGAAGCTAAAACTAGCCAATTAAATTACAGTCCATGCTACAGGGAAACTGGGGCTAGTCAATCCTGTAACCGGTTACACCATGGGGTTGGGATATCATAACATGGTAAGATGTAAATGAAATAGCCAGAAGAGAATTATACAAATAGAAAAATAAACCACTATATGCGGAAATAAAAAAATATTTTGAACAATTTTGTTTGTTTGTGTGTGTGCAAGCAATGTGTGTCAAACTCACATTCTCTTGTGTTGGTATGAATGTGTCATTTTCCAGCACATTATTGATGATGTAGCAACTCATGATTTTTCTGCTCTTGAAGTCAAAGTATTCAAACAGCGGTCCGAAGTGTCCAAGCTGGAGCACAGTGAGCACGTTGTTGTAGCTGTCCACCGGGATCTTCATCAGCCGCATCAACTCCTTGGAAACTGGACTGCCATGCTCCAGACTGGGGTGAACAGAAGTTAAGCTTCTGTTAGCAAAGGTAAATTTTCATACAGGTGAAAATTAGGAGGTAAATTAAAGCAATCAGCAAAATGGAGGACTGTGAACTAACACCACAAGACAGTCCCATTCACTCACAACACAGAATAGTCCCCCATTCACTCACAACACAGAATAGTCCCTTGTTAGCTCACAACACAGAATAGTCCCTCGTTAACTCACAACACAGCATAGTACCCCATTAACTCACAACACAAAATAGTCCCTCATTAACTCACAACACAGAATAGTCCCTCGTTAACTCACAACACAGAATAGTCCCATTCACTCACAACACAGAACAGTCCCCTATCAACTCACAACAAAGAATATTTCCATTCACTCACAATGCCAGAATAGTCCCCCATTAACTCACAACACAGAATAGTCCCCCATTAACTCACAACACAGAACAGTCCCTCGTTAACTCACAACACAGAATAGTCCCTCATTAACTCACAACACAGAATAGTCCAATTCACTCACAACACAGAATAGTCCCCCATTAACTCACAACACAGAATGGTCCATTAACTCACAACATAGAATAGTCCCCCATTAACTCACAACACAGAATAATTCCATTCACTCACAATGCCAGAATAGTCCCCCATTAACTCACAACACAGAATAGTCTCCCATTAACTCACAACACAGAATAGTCTAATTCACTCACAACACAGAATAGTCCTTCGTTAACTCACAACACAGAATAGTCCCCCATCAACTCACAACACAGAATAGTCCCTCGATAACTCACAACACAGAATAGTCCCCCATTAACTCACAACACAGAATGGTCCATTAACTCACAACACAGAATAGTCCCCCATTAACTCACAATACAGAATAGTCCCCAATTAACTCACAACACAGAATAGTCCCCCATTAACTCACAACACAGGATAGTCCCTCGTTAATTCACAACACAAAATAATTCCCCATTAACTCACAACACAAAATAGTCCCCCATTAACTCACAACACAGAATAGTCCCTCGTTTACTCACAACAACGAACAACAGAATATGAATGTCATACGTACTGGTCAAGGTTGAGTCGATTGAATATTTCCTCTGTTGTCTCCAGCACTTTGTCCACATATTCTGTCTTATCTGGGTAACATTTGAGTGCCAAGTTAATCAGCGCTACCTGTAGGGAAACGATATCCTCGGGTGGCATGTCCGGCCGATTCTGTAAAATGATCACATTATAAAGGATGTTGAAACTATAAATATATAAATGACTATCCAATGTTATCACCTTCGGCAACAAATCAAACTGTTTTGGCTGTTCCTATTAATGTTTTGTAATGTTTTTCATAAAGTATTATATACCTGTATGTTGTGTAGAGACTATATACCGGTACATTTTGTGAGACACAACATACCAGTACATTTTGTGAGACACAACATACCAGTACATTTTGTGAGACACTACATACTTGTATACAAAACATACCTTTGACACATATTTACCTGTATGACCTTTGACACATATTTACCTGTACGACCTTTAACACATATTTACTTGTGTGACTTTTGACACGATATTTACCTGTACAACCTTTGACACATATTTATCTGTATAACCTGTGATACAATATTTACTTGGGTGACTTTTGACACGATATTTACCTGTACGACCTTTGACACATATTTACCTGTACGACCTTTAACACATATTTACTTGTGTGACTTTTGACACGATATTTACCTGTACAACCTTTTGACACATATTTATCTAAAAAAAAAAAGGGGGGATAGAATAGTGTGTGACTTTTGACACAATATTTACCTGTATGACTTTTGACACGATATTTACCTGTACAACCTTTGACACATATTTATCTGTATAACCTGTGATACAATATTTACTTGTGTGACTTTTGACACAATATTTACCTGTATGACTTTTGACACGATATTTACCTGTACGACCTTTGGCACACATTTATCTGTATAACCTGTGATACAATATTTACTTGGGTGACCTTTGACACAATATTTACCTGTACAACCTTTGACACATATTTATCTGTATAGCCTGTGATACAATATTTACTTGAGTGGCTTTTGACACGATATTTACCTGTATGACCTTTGACACACATTTACCTGTACGACCTTTGACACATATTTACCTGTACGACCTTTGACACATATTTATCTGTATAAACTGTGATACAACATCAATCCAGGAGTAGAGCCAATGCCGTTATTGTAGTTCAGGTTCGGTGGGTTCCGTTATCCCTTGCCTGGATACCAACCAGTATGCAGGGCGATTGAAGAATAGGGAAAATAAGAGTAGGAGTCAATCGCAACAAGCTCAGGATAAGTTGAATCTTATTTATTGGCTATGTCTACCGGTTTCGCCCAAACAGTGGGCTTCTTCAGGACGATTTAATAACAAAATATGTCCCCTGAAGTACTAAAATTCTGGGCACATTTATATTGTGTATAGTGACGTAATACAGGTAACGTCACGTGATATTATCTATTTATAACGTTCTAGAAAGTTCCATCGCGGTTATTATTAGTAAATGAGCATTCTAGTATATAGTCTCAGTTCCTGAAATACTATTAATGTACATACAATTCACTGACTATTTTTAAATATAAATATATATGTCTAAGTGTGTATACATATAGTTAGACATAAGTACAAGTATCTTTTATCCCTAAATATTATTAACCTAAATTATTATGTTCACGTTCATCCTGACAAACAGTGGATGTGGATATTGACTTATATCCCAAAGTCTTGTAGTCTACGATTGCATGGTCTCCTTCTGATGTGTTAGGTGTAGATGCCGTGTCTTCACTCTCTGATAATTCTAGATCAGCCTTGAGCAACTCTAGAGTTGCTCAAACTCGGGACATTTTACGTCTCCCGATCATAACATACATAACGTCATAGTTACGGGTATTGTTAAAGACGTCACGGATACTAACCGTCGTCTCAGAACAGAAGAGAGTTGGATTTGTATGCTACGTACAACTCAACCAGAAGGTCTTAACATTATAGCTTGATGGCCAACACGAAACAGACAACCTGCCGCAAACCTAATACTACGGGCAGAAAACTGAGTCTACCGTGCATCAGATGCGGGAAGACTTACACTAATCTTAGGAATCTACGGAGACATGCGGATATAGCACATGGTCTCATACAAACCTGGTATAAATGCAAACTCTGCAAACGAACATATGGGAGGGAGGAAACTTATAAGAAACACCTCAAGGACAAACACCCGGGGTACCACGTGGAACCGGAGATGTTTGAAGACCGCACTAAAGAACAGGCAACCAAACCGGATAACAAACGCCCATTTGAGGCGCTGACTAAGAAACAGTTAGATCAGGTGAAATTTAGAATCAAACCAGGACACGGGATGAGCACAATAGGACCACCTTGCAAACAATTCAGGCCGGTACTAGATGAAACTCTAGAGTTGCTCAAGGCTGATCTAGAATTATCAGAGAGTGAAGACACGGCATCTACACCTAACACATCAGAAGGAGACCACGCAATTGTAGACTACAAGACTTTGGGATATAAGTCACTATCCACATCCACTGTTTGTCAGGATGAACGTGAACATTATAATTTAGGTTAATAATAATTAGGGATAAAGATACTTGTACTTATGTCTAACTATATGTATACACACTTAGACATATATATTTATATTTAAAAATAGTCAGTGAATTGTATGTACATTAATAGTATTTCAGGAACTGAGACTATAGACTAGAATGCTCATTTACTAATAATAATCGCGATGGAACTTTCTAGAATGTTATAAATAGATAATATCACGTGACGTTACCTGTATTACGTCACTATACACAATATAAATGTGCCCAGAATTTTAGTACTTCAGGGGACATAATTTGTTATTAAATTGTCCTGAAGAAGCCCACTGTTCGGGCGAAACCGGTAGACATACCCAATAAATAAGATTCAACTTATACTGAGCTTGCTGCGATTGACTCCTACTCTTAACTGTGATACAATATTTACTTGGGTGACTTTTAACACAATATTTACCTGTACGACCTTTAACACAATATTTACCTGTACGACCTTTGACACAATATTTACATGTACAACCTTTTACACGATATTTACCTGTATGACTTGTGAGACCTGCTGTGAGAAGATATCAAAAAGTTGGATGTCAGCAGGAATACCATGTCCCTCCTCATTCTGGGAAAACTGGGCCAACCTTTTTGCAGAAAAAAAATGCACAATGTCTACATTATATATAATGTCAACATTACAGTTTTACAACTAATGTCTGCGTTATAACCTTTCAATTATGTCTTTACATTTCAATAGCTGCAACCATGGTCAAAATACCTACATTTTATGCAATACTGAGACGATCACAACCATTACATTTTTTTCAGAAACAAGAAATATCACGGAAAATAATGTTTTTTCATGTTGTTGTTATTATTGTTGGCTTAAGTTATACTTTATTGCAGTGTATCTCACATGCCACTTTTAGGTGATAATGATGTTGACATAGATGTCTTACCATGTTATTGGAATTAACAACAAAATAGAACCTGAGATACTGGGAAACTTAAGTACATGTACATATGTGTATAAAGAAGATTCGAAAAATGGTCCAAACAGGTCTGAAATTAATTGCCCCCCTCTTGTTTTCAAAGTTGCACCATTAACTTTCGGACCAAATATCAGCATCCTGGTACAAATACTGGAAACTATACAAATGAATATCAACACTTACATGTACAACAAACTTTAACATGGCAATGCCAATACTGATACCAGAAACGGTCAGCTAACAATGGAAATTGGTGCTTAATCTTAAAATTGTAGTACAGTGCAGATTGTGGAAATACTGCTCACCTGTCAATCAGAGCAATGATGATGTTCTTTACATTGACACTCTCATGGAGTTCAGCACACGCTCTGAGGAATGAAGTTAGTGTCTGTAGGTGGAAGTCGTCGGGAAACACCTGAAACAAATACCATAATGATATTTGCTCAGTATTTTCTATTGAAGGAATTTTCAAAACATAAAATATCCATTCAAACTCCACACATACATGTATGCAGACTGATGGTACTTTGTAATCAAAACCTTTAAGTCAACAACATAACTATATTTGCAGCTAAATTGTAATCAAGTGTCAAATAATTGTGAAAATGTATTTTTCCTATAGGTATATAATGCTTACCGTATAAACAAGGGAATCTTGGCGCCAACCATCGTACCATCTTCATAATAGTTCTATGTCAGTTCGATCTTTTCTCTTCTTTTCTCTTATCTGTTTGATCAGTTTACCTGTCTGTCATCTTAATCACTCTTTTGATCAACCCCAAAAGTCAATTTGAGAAAGATCCCTCCAATACCTTTTGAGCAATAGGGCTAAAAAAACTTTTACTCCCAAATTCAATACGACCACCTGCTAGCCATCTTGGCTTTCCAATCATCCCCAAAATCCGAAATGTGGAATTAGGAACCATGGGGAACCTTCATGTGAAATTTGAGAAAGACCCTACGGAACATTCTGAGAAACAAGAGGGCCTGTATCACTCACCTTGATATCTAAGCGATCATTGCAAAATATTCTCCTATAATGAGACCAAGGGAATGGGCCAGACCACGGCCAATTCTTGTAGTATATCTGTATTAGATTTTTAATGCCCAGCAATTTTATGTATGGTTATGGGGTCAGGATCTCATTTTGACCCCAACCTCAGCCCCCTGGGGGGTCAGCCCAACCATTTGTACAAATTTGAATCTCTACCTCCCATGAATTCTTCCGACCAAAACCGATCAATATTCAGTGCATAGTTCTACATGAGAAGTCGTTTATAGCAAAATAGCCAAATTGCCCGCTTTTGGCCCCGCCCCTCAGCCTCCTGGGGGATCAGCCCTACCATTTGTAAAATTCTGCATTCCAACTACTTATGGTTGATAACAATCTCTTGGTTCCAGAGAAGAAGTTGCTTAAAGCAATAAAGCCAAATAACCCTTTTTGGCACATCCCCTCAGCCCCTTGGGGGTCAGCCCCACCATTTGTACAATTTTTAATACCCATCACCTAGGGATGCTTCCAGTCAAATTTAGTTAAATTCCAATCAGTGGTTAAGAAGAAGAAATTGTTGATGTATGGACGCCACGGTATGGCATAAGCTCACCTTGGTCCGATGCTCACCTTCGGACCAGGTGAGCTAATAATGCTAACAAACTTTCATTATCAAATTCAAGATGGTCGTCTGTCGGACATTCTGGTTTCTCCTTCTGTTCCAAAATTTGATATGCGTAACTAGGGACCATGGGGAACTTGTCATGTAAAATATAAGAAAGAAAGCTTAGGATTTACCTGTACTCACCTGAACGACACACTTGATTAAGTACAGTAATAATGACTTACCTGTATGATACACTCCATCAGGTACTCCTGAGCGATGGGATCTCTACAGCTGACTGTCTGTTCTAAAATCCCTGGTAGTACCAACTGGAACATAACAAGGAATGTTTATGAAAATAAACCTTCAGACATTCATGGACGAGATTTGCACATTCCGGCACTCAAGCATATTGATGCGTTGAGAATAACAAATCTTACGTATACCCAATGAGGCCAAAGTAAAACCAAATAGGGAGTTTTCATCCCTTTACATTTCACTTTATAACCAACTGAAATGTTAAACTGCAGTATCAATTATACTCTATCTGAAAATAACAAGTCTATTTTGTACAAAAGATTGCTTCCTATTCAATAGCTGTTTATCCAAAGTTTCATTTACCCAAACCACTATTTTGTCCCTGCAGAATGACCGCATAACTGAACTTGACCCCAATTTGCTGTAAAAATCATTTTATTTCTTAGCATACCTTATTTTGTGAATGTTGTCTCTAGATTTTCTTCCCTAATGGAATAAAAATTATGTAAGATTCAAACTTGCTAATGAAACAATCACTCATGAAAAGAAGTAGATAACTTATACTATATGAGCCCTCTTCTGTATTGGTATCTAATTATAACAGTATTGTCCGAACAACTCTGAAGCAATGCATGTCTACTTTTATCTAATTACCGTTAAGCTCACTATCATGCCTACATATCAACTTTTATACAAAACATGCTCTTCCAATCTTCTCCTACTTATGGTCTGACAAAGTATGAAGTTTCACCTTTTTATACTTGTCCATATCAATGCACTCCAGCTGACTTAGACGGACAAGATTTGTGCCGACCAGGATCCTCAATTCCCGCCGCTCCTGTTCACGCTTCACACGATCCCGTGAGTGGCCCTGATGCTGCATACGCACCCACAATTTGTTCATTTCGGAAAAGTTCAACAGGACAAAGTCTATAGAGTCAAGTACAGTTCCGGCCTCATAGTCTCCACTACAATGCAGAAATGTAATTTGTCATACTAGTATCTTGAAAATTCAATTTCTATAAAAGCCATATTTTAAAATTACAACAATAAAGATCCAAAGCTTAAAATACCAGTAATTCTTATTCAGGTGCAGATAAATATTTTCAATAAATCTTTGCCTTCCCATTGCATTAAAAATGTTGGTTCATCATACAAATTGTATTTCTAAATCTCCAAACATGGTTTGATATTTAACTTACTTAAGTATGAACCAGTTATAAATTGATCATCAGTTTTAACCTCGGTGCCTACCTTGAAGTGTCCTCTTCTGTATCAGGAAGTACATTCTTGGTACATTGCAGAAGGTAGTTCCTGAGGAAGAGGCCCCGCAAGGGGTGCTGGACTCCCCGACACATTTCCACAAGATCCTTGAGGATGTCCTTCCGTGATAGCTCGTTAGATTTTATGTACACCACACCGACTGTTATCAGTAGGTACCTACACAAAACACCAGCACTACTTACACACAGGTTTAATACAAAATGGGATATATGTGTAATGTATCAAATTTACTCTACTTAATTTAGCCTTTCATAAACCATAATGGCATAGCAATATTATTTTTACAGAAGCTATTTGCACCCTGTGTTTTGAATATAATTTCTATGTGATCATTCATGGGTATAAACAAAGGCAAATTGAGTAATTTTCAATTAACGGTATGCATATATATGATATGATATATACACAACGGTCAACCACACAGTAGATTTGTCTGCTGGATAACCGAACTGTTCGGTAGGGACATAAAACCAATCAATCAATCAATTAACACAGTAGAAGATAGGTAAACATTAGATGTTCCAAGAAGACACAGAAACTTACAATAGTCAGATGTTTAAGTTTTGTTCAATTTTTCAGAGGTAAAAGTAGGCCTGATTGTACATATATTTATATACACACTATCAAATTAACAAAAATGAAAATGGTTACATAATTATAATTACACACAATTATTATAAAAATGCTGTAGATCTTGTACTTCATAAGTTAAATGTATATATATAAATGTGTGAATATTGCATATTTTCTCTCACTGTGTTTCAGACATACAAGCAGTGAGGTAAAAAACATGTTTAGGTTTACTGTTAATTGACTTAATCTCTAATATTTCATGCCCATTTTTGACATGGCACTTACAATCGTGGGACAATGTTGCCTGCATATTGAACCAGTTCGTATAAATCTGCAACCTTGCGTCCTTTTTGGAATTCATCGACTAAATATAATTCCAGGTGACGTAATTCATCAGATATTGACATATCTGAAGTGGAAGGTCAAGGATCGTGGATATGATATCAGCATGATTGAAAATGCATCAAATTGTGTATATTATTTAATCACTTTTCTTATCAAGAACCCTATTGATTAGTTATATAATGATGACATTCATTTTTTGATTAGTTATATAATGGTGACATTCATTAACTATATACTATATAAACTATATAAAGTATATATGGAATCTTGTTATTGATAGCTGTGGTAAGGATACAGAGCTCATAGTAACTTTTGGGGGACAACATGGATGTCCTCAGCTCCCCAAGCATGGTCGATGCATGCTTAAGACCGTCCATCAACTTCCCTTTGTCCTAAAAAAAGCACAGGAAATGTACAGTTATGTATGAACAATAGGTGTAGAAATTAACTTATATCATTTTAAAGACCTTGGGTAAAATATGAATATACTTTGTATGTATTATTTGAGTCTGGTATAGAGGGCTTATGTATAAGCCCTGAACCGGAAATAAACTTATCTTATCTTATAAAGGGAAATTTCTTTCTGACACAAAACTTTTGCATATCACACTGCTGATCATGCATGACAAGTGATGACTCTACCCTGTTGTCCATTAATTACAATGTAAGGGTCGACTCATGTGTTTTTAACAGTCCACACTTATTTTCACTCTAGCATCAATTAAATTAGCATGTACATTGTCTACACAGCATGATAGAGAATTCTGTTTAATTGTTCCAGTTAGCAAGTGGTCCCATAAGTTATAGCCACAGGGAATAACATCACAACAATCATTTGTAACAAATAAAAATTAATATTTGAGATGTGCTTAAAATTGATTTAAAGAATATGTGATCAATTATTAGGTTATAAACCCTGGTATCTACTTTTTACTGGAATATTTTCACTAGAAACATTAGAAGTATTTCAAGAATCGGCCGATCTGTACCACATGGTTTTCAGTTACCATATTTTAATACTTCAAATAAATAAGATATATGAGATGGTTATGTTGATTTTTTGTTAAAGCCAAAAAGTGTACTATGCATGTTTAAATTCTTCACTACAGGAATCAGCTGAACGTTTAGTAATTTAGGAGACTGCAACTAATCCAAACCAAAGCTTGTCAGAGAATGGCACATTCTGTTAGAGTAGTACGTATGCAATGTCCCATTACAGACATTTATCTGTCTAAATGCCTCAATTGTGGATAATTTGTCTTTATGATTTCCAGGAAACCTGGTTTGACTAGCAAACAGTATGTATTAATATTTACCAAACATCGTTTCATCTGGAAAGATTGATTCTTGACTATGATATTTGCCTCCTCCAGCAATTTCTCTTGCTCCTCTTGGGGCGATAGTTGTGGTGTCGAAGGCTGAAAAAAGGAATTATGACCATTATACGGTATTTAAAAAGTGCTAGATCTATGTATTGACACGGAATTAGATTATCTAAGTCCGTGGTATTGATAATATACACCTGATTGAGATCAACGTTCTGCTTTTGGACAAAATGAACGGTACTTCGAGTTGATAAACGTTTGTGTAGTTTGCTGCTCAACCCTATCACAAACCTACCGTGTGACCCCCCCCCCCCCCCCCCCAAAAAAAAATATGCATCGATTCTCGTTAAAAATGTGATTTTCTCTTTAGATAACTCAATGAATTGATTGCAACAATGAACATCAACATAACGAGATTTGGATGAAGTATTACCATGACTGTGTTCGCTCAATGTCGATGTCTAACGGCGTTATATCGGAAAAATGTCTGTCACGAATTTTTAATGATCTTCCTCATCAACCTCCCACCATATTGGTATCATGTGACCTAAGGAGAAAACTAATGGTGGTAGGTAAATCTTGTACGCCGCTCCCGCTCCCGTCCCAAAACCCGTACCAGGAATATATAGATATTTTAATATCTCATTAACGCGATCGTTTATATTTTTTTTTATAAAATTATACAATAATTTCAAACATTATTTTCTAAATGTGGAATTTATTTTTTTCTATTTTTTATTATCTAATAATTTAGAAATGACGATAATGTGTATTTCAAGGGGGTAAAACTTGTACGCCGCTGTCAACCGTGAAAATCACTGACGTATAGTTAGATATTAAGAGAAAAGAAACATGTTATGTTCAGGTATATAGAACTAAATACCTCGTTGCAATAAACGACATATATCACATGGAATTTTGACTTTGTTGTGATCGCGGGAGTTTTGTTAACTCCCGTACCCGTGCTCAGGGGACATCACTCCGTCAAGACTCGTGCTAAAAAAATTAATACAACTATTTCATTATTTCTTTTTCATTTCTGGCTGTAACAGATGGTTTCATAATAGATGTGTAAGAGATCTGTCAGATTTACATTTTTCTAGGGATAGTTTTATTAGCTCACCTGTCCGAAGGGCAAGTGAGCTGATGTCATGGTGCGGCGTCCGTCGTCCGTCCGTCCTCGTCCGTCAACTTTTCCTTTAAACAACTTCGTCTGAAGAACGGACAGGCCTAGAGTCATGATATTTGGCTGAAAGCTTCGTTGGTAGGAGCCCTACAAAGTTTGAGAACGAAAATGACCTTGTTTTCAAGGTCACAGGGGTCAAATATGTCAAAAACTTCAAACGACTTCTTCTGAAGAACTGAAAGGTATAGAATCTCTATATTTGGCTTGTAGCTTCTTAGGAAAGAGCCGAACAAAGTTTGAGAATGAAAATGACCTTGACCTTCTTTTAAGGTCACATGAGGCAGATATCTCAAACACTTTAAACGACTTCTTCTGAAGAACTGGTAGTTATAAAATCTTAATATTTGGCAGGTGGCCTCCTGGGAAAGAGCCAAACAAAGTTTGTGAATGAAAATGACCTTGACCTACTTTCAAGGTCACAGCGTTCAAATATGTCAAACACTTCAAATGACTTCTTCTGAAGAATTAAAAGACATAAAATTATAATATTTGGCTGGTGACTTCCTGGGATAGAGCTCACCAAAGTTTGGGAATGAAAATGACCTCAACCTACTTTAGAGGTCACAGAGGTCAACAACATTTTAATGGATTTGTCCTTGAGAACTAAAAGGAATGGGATTCATAAGATTTGGCTGGTAGCTTTTTGGAATAGAGCTATCCAATTTGAGAAGGAAAATGACATTAACCTACTTACAAGATCACAGGGAAAAATATGTCAGGCAACTTCTGAAGAAGAATAAAAAAGCATAGAATCTTATAATAATATTTTGCTGGTAGTTTCAACAGATGGAGCCAACAAATTTTGCGAGGGATTTTTTTTAGTGCAATATAATATTTAATGAGAATATTTTGCTATGACTGCTTAAATATTCAGGTGAGCGATACAGGCCCTCTTGGGCCTCTTGTTTCACGGTTGACTGCGGCGTACAAGTTTTACCCCCTTGAAATACACATTATCGTCGATCTCTAAATTATTAGATGATAAATAGACATTTTTGTAACTGCCACATTTAGAAAATAATGTTTGAAATTATTGTATAATTTTATAAAAAAATATAAACGATCCGCGTTAATGAGATATTAAAATATCTCTATATTCCCGGGACGGGGTTTGGGACGGGAGCGGGAGCGGCGTACAAGATTTACCTACCACCGAAACTAATTGCTCTATAATGGAATAGAGACGATGAAAAGTTCCGGATTATTACAAAATCGATTGCTTTAAAAAATATCATTTAATGCAATGCTAACTAAAATTAGCTTCATTTTATAAAGGGTATGGTCTGTATCAGGAGTAATTCATTACTATTTTGTATATGATGTCACGGTGTCACATTCTAGAATGATAATTATTTTTTATTGTCAAAATATTATATTTAGTTCAGCATCAATGATCCGTACATATAAGATATTTATATAATGTAATAGATGAAATTGTGTTATTGTACTTTTGTACAAGAAAAGGGCATGTTCTCTTTTATGTACGCCAAAGAAAGTCAGGCTGTTTCCATTTTATATCCGTCAACCTTTTCTCTATTTATAATTGCTTTCTTGTTGAACAGCACGCTTCCCTACTATCAGTGTGTGATCGCCTGACACAAACGTTCCAGCGGGCCAGAGCTACAACATAAAACAACACCGCGGGAAAGTTGACAAAATTTCAACGACAACAAACATGAGTAAACAGCCGATAAATGTGATGTCGTCAAAGCTGGGTATTTCGTCGCTCAGAACGATAGAGTAAGCTTATGTACAGGATATCTGTCAACCAGTTCGTATGCTGTGAACATTTTTTTCTTGAGAACTTTGACTTTTGATCTTTTTAGGATGTGGCATGTACAAGTATCGATAGCATACTGACTATTAAAACTATTCATTTTGCAGGGATTTGATTATTATAAACAATGATTAATGTAGGCGTGTTTGAAAGCTTCATGGGTTGCATAGGGGATAATATGTGCCTTTAAGTCATCTACTGTAGTATCTTTTTATTGTAAAGCTGTAACCAGGAGAAGGTTCTATTGATTGTGTGTAGGAAGATTTCTTTAACATGTGTCTGTCATTGGTTGCAAGTACTTGTATGTGTTTTCTAGAACATGTACAGTACGCATCCATTATTTGCAGACGACTTGACAAAAGATCAACAACAAAGATGATAGACAAACTAGCATCAGCAGGGTGGGTGTGGGGGGGATTAATTTTGAAAAAGAGAAATTTTTGCACTTATCTAAAACTAGTAAATTAGAATTGCCATATCGGTTCTTCTTGTATACTACCTTCTGTCAGCAAAAAAATATAGAACTTCCTTTTTGCTGAGATTGGGACAAATCTACTTCTAGTCTACTGCCGAGCAGAGCGAGTATATTTTTTTTTCTGAAGATGTAATACGTTTGGTTTGGTTTAGTATTGTAACGAGCGCGCGTCCGGTGCCCACGTCTCACCGGCCGCCGTCGAAGAAGTATGGGGTTCTTGTTTCACCAATATAGTGTGCTTCCTGGATCCTGGATTATCACGGTCGAATATGTTATATCTCCTCTATGTCAGGTCCGAGAACAATGGTCAGAAATAGTCTAGCAGTCTAATTTACTATGCGAAAACTCTAAATATCAACCAAGAGCCCAATTGACAGGTACAAATATAATTTATTAAAGGAACAAGTTAAATAACAATGTATCTTTACAGAGTACAGATCAGTATAATATTACAATACAAACAAGGCATCAACACAGGTTCTTGCACCAGACAATAACAAAGGTGATTGACAAATTGTACACAACTATTCCCAAATTATACACTAATTGACTGTATTTCCTGTACCAATCTCCCACTAATCACCAGAGCCTAATATTCTAAGTCACCTAAATTATAATCTGATATGCAGACCAGCAAAAATACAAGATAGCTTCAACTATTAAGATAATTTGTAATAATATGACAATACAGCTATAAATAGCCAAATACCGGGATATCCCCTTATATTCGATGACTGTGTCTATAAATAGAACTATAAATGACGTAAGCAGTAAAGCCTAAACCCAAAGTATGAGAGATTCCTAAGTCTGACCTGTTCAGAGGCGACCGTCTGCCAGCGAAGACAGTGATGAACTAAAGAAAAAGGTCTGATCCGACCTGTATTTATAACCTTCCAAATATTACTACTCAGGAGAGGTCTGGTGATCAGACGGGAGAGGTCCGGGGACACTTTCTCATAGGATTGCATGTAAAAGTAATAAAACCTTATCACACACGGCCTCTCATAATATCCGCTCAAACAATAAGTGCTTTACGTTAAAATAATGCTACAGAGTATAAAAATACATGTAAAACTACTATTTAATGCCGCTAAGGTTACGGATTAAAAATATACCAAGTTTAGGGAATTCCCTTCGGTAGTGACGTCAGACGCCGGTAAGAGTTATCGAAACGCTTGAGAGGTCGCCGAGAGAGGTCCGAGAGGCCTCTCCGACTGACTAAACATCTAAGACGTCGTTAAAAGACATAACCAGTATCCAAAAAGGTTAGCATACTCTTTTAAATATCATAATTACTTAATGTCCATCAATCTACAGTGACTTACAACCCTAGGAAGTTAAAGAATCAATGTAAGTAGTTTTGAGCATCTCGCATAGTCAGCTTCCAAAATGGCGGTCTTGAGAGGTGTTTGAGATGCTAACGAGTGGTCGATTTAACACGAAATTAGCAGGGAAGTTATAAATCATTTCTACAATGTTCTGTAGTTGTAATTTGAATAATCAACCTTTAAAACTTATGTACAAACACATTTTGGACTAATAAATGGACATTGGTGTTATTTATGTAGTGAAAACCCGTCACACAGGCGTACGGCAATATGTAAACAAATCGGCTGCAGGGCCGAAACAGCGGTGGTTGAAATCACCCATTTATACGGGGCTGACACGTTACAGTATTGTTAAACGTCCTATCAACATCAATGGTCATTTAAGGACGACCTTCCCTGTACATGTGCAAGATGTATGCGTGTGTGTTTTGGTAGGCTGATATATGTTCATGTTTGTTTCCTTGCAATTGTGATAGTGCGGAACTGATGCCAGCTTTATATTGCTACCTCACTGAAACATACTGCCGAAGACACCTAGCAGGGCACCCCACCCGGTCACATTATACTGACAACGGGCAAACCAGTCGTCCCACTCCTAAATTGCCGAGCGTTAAGCAGGAGTAGAAACTACCATTTTTACCGACTCTGGTATGTCTCGGCCAGGGGACAGAACCCAAAGCCTTCCTCACAGGGGCGAACGCTCAACTAAAGGCCAAAAGTGAGGCATTGTCAAGGGAGACATTAGGAAGAAGAAAGTTGTGTAGAAGAAAGAGATAAGATAAGATATTTTATCACGTAGAGTATTTATATTTTATGATGGCCGAGCGAATCAAATGTTAACAAATTCTGTAAGAAAATGGTAAAAATGTAGATTTTTGGTTAAAATGTTGATATTTATGTCTGGCCCTTAAAATGGTCACTTGTCAAAGTTTAGGGGGAGGGATGGCTTTTCTCTAGATTCAGCTGCTAACATTGGTTATTAATCACCTGATGAAGTGATTCTAAGGAGGGTACTTCATTATCTTTAACAATTTTGAAATTTATATTTTTTAATTGGTAAAATAAATCACTCCTGGTGACCATGTGTACCTGAAACCACAGGTGAAAATACAGATATCTCTATCTCACTTTTCACTATTTTCACTTTTTATCAATGATTTTGAAATATCCTTTATTGAAAACGGTGCAACATATTACGACTTTGGTGAGTTAAGTTTGTTTCTGTTAATGTACGCAGATGATTTGGTTATTTTTTCGGAATCTGTACAGGGTCTGCAGACTCATCTTGATGGAGTTTAACTGTAAATACAGAAAAAACAAAAATTGTAGTTTTTAGAAAAGGTGGAAGATTACATAATGATGAAAAATGGTATTACAATGGAAGTAAAGTCGACTGTGTGGATCAATTTCCTTACCTAGGTGTTATTCTAAATTGCAATAATAAATTCACTTGTATCCAAAAACAATTAGCTATCCAAGGACGAAAAGCCATGTTTGTATTATTTTCAAAATGTTCATCATTAAACTTAAATGTAAAAACTATGCTACACCGTTTCAATACACATGTAAGCAGTATCCTTTTTTATGCAAGTGAAATTTGGTGTATGGACAAAGCTCCAGAGATTGAACATGAACATTTACATTTTTGAAAGAAATTACTAAAAGTGAAGAAATCGGCCAATAACAACATGGTATACCTTGAATTGGGACGATTACCTCTAGTTTGAAATTAGAATGATGAAATATTGGTTTAAGATCTTATAATCTGAACATTGTATCATATCCACTTCCTATAAAAAAAAATTAAAATGTTGTAGTAAAAATGATTTCAACTGGGCTAAAGCAGTAACAGATGAATTGAATAATCTAGGTCTTAGTGATGTTTGGTTAAATCCATGTATTTCTCAGCAAAATGTGTTATTACCATTGATAAAACAAGGAATTTCTGAAGGACCTCAGTGGAAAACTCTCCAAAATGTTTATTGTATAAAAATATCATTGATTTTGGAGAATCCTTAAAATTTTACCTCACAAAATATGTACCAATGAAATATCGCATTTGTTTAACTCGAATCCGTACATCTACACATTCTTTGGCTTTATAAGTTGGAAGGTATAATAATATTTTAAAAAGTGGGGGAAACGAGAACAAGCCCCTAGAGTCAGTCCGGTGAGCCTAGCTAGACCACTGACCTGACTGGAGACCCTCCGAATATATAGACAATGGAGGATTGACCCCCTATTGTTGAGAGTATAAATAGGCCCTAAGCTAGTGGACTCTTTGTTTGGGCAACACCCGTAGGCATATATAGATATTCAAACTGCTGGCAAAGAGAAGCCATAGAACATCATAGTTCAAGGTATGTTTGATATAAAAAAGAAATCCCATATGAAATAGAGGGAAATCTTCAAAAACCTTGGTCCAGATAGTTTTTGGACACAGAAAAAAGGGTGTTGCCCGGGCAAATAGCTATATATAGGACAACCCACCTGGGTCCGCCACTGATTACACTATAGCAGATGGGAAGAGGACTGACTCATGAAACTCGATCCAGACAAATTGCAATATGCATATTTTCACAATTTCACCAAAATATACTGAAATCAAACAGTAATAAACACTCCATTACCATACACAAGAATCAGCAAATTCAAGTACATGCCAAGGACTTGCACTACATGGATCTTCATACTCTACATTTACATTTTACATTTTACAGGAAAGCAGTGTTCTGAAATGACATTTTTATGTTTTCAGAAAGGCCAAGGAGTTGCAGCAGCTGATGGATGTACGTGTTGGCAGTGGATCATTGGCTGCTCTTGGTATCACAGGATCCTGCCCCCTCATCATGTGCCTGGACCTGGCAGCCTCGGCTACCGGCCAGACTCTCACCAAGGTCTGATCCACTGGTACCTTAATGTTGTTAGACTTTTGAACAGCACTATGATAAAGTCCGAAAGAGAGAAAAGCAGTTCCGTTATTACCTAAAATGAAAAAATGATTTAATGCAAAAAATAACAATTAATTTGCCTGGCCTGACTGTATTCATGTTAATAAAACATGTCAGTGAAACATTTTCTAACCTGTCTTTCTCCAGATTTCATCATATACTTGAGTTTTGAGGAGGAGTTGTACATGAAACCATTTATTTGTTTACTACAGACAGAAGCCATTCGACTGTCCGGTGTCAACAAGAAGGTGTATGCCAATGGTCTGAGGGCGCTGGAGAGTATGTTGGAGCTTGAGGTGAAACAGACCATCAAAGACTTGGCGGTACAGTTTGGCTGCTCAGGGGCAGTAACTCTAGCTGAACAGGCCCTTCAGAGGTAAAATTTCTGTTGACTAGGGAAACATCTGGACTGTAGTTCATCATAATTATGTAATTTGGGTAAAACTGTACATTTTATACTAAGTCATATGCAATGTGTCTTTCATTAGATAATGAAGTTTAACAACTTACTTATTTGTGCAAATAGTCAGCTGTTGCATCCAGATATCAAAGTGTAGGAAATGTGATTAAAAACCAACAGATATTATCGCCATCCATGTTTCTTGTTTATTTTGTACAAAATTTGTTGTGGGTTGTTTATAAAAGATTGACAAGAGTCAAGTTGGGTCAGTGAGTATGTCTAGTGCTTCAAGTCTAAAGCTGTATGTGTACAATAATTTGATAATAATGTTACATTTTCTGACCACCTCCTGAAATCCTTGGAAGAACAAATAAATCCACCACTAACTGACTTTTCAGTTAAGATTTAATCAGTCTACCATCAGTCATTTCAACATAAATGTCACTGTCTTCAATTTGTTGTGTTAAATTTACTATTGTTCCCTGGGAGCATCTAGTTTCTTGAACTGTTGGCGACAATTTTTACATGTATCCATGTATGTCCATGTGTTACAGATATGAACAAAGTCACAACAGTAAATCTTGTACACAGATGGACTTCTCTGCCCCTATGTTCCAAGCCTCGGCTCTGTATGCTGCATGCAGGTAACTGTTTTAAGTAGGATGAGTGTAATGTAATTAAGGTTATATGCTACCTAACACTTTTGCTATGAATTGGTACTGGACTTATCTTCCTTAAAATGCAAACTGTCGAATTTGAAATTTTCTCTCCTAGTTTCTTTTGACAATTTTGCCTTGAATACATTTGATGGTGATTGAATTCAATGCTAGCTGAAACAATATATACATGTATGTAGTTAGCAGTGGTTGAACTCAACTTGTAGGTTTTCCTTCTATATACCCTTCTCCTGCAAAGCTGTAGTCTTTATTTGTTTGTGGTCACCAATTTGTATCTTGTGAAGTTCTAGCTGTTGTATATCCTTTGCGTTATATTGAAAAAAGGGACTTCCTTCGACAAATAGAATGGGATTGTGATCCGATTGCCATTGCATTAGAACTATATATAGGACTGAAATTTCTTGCATACTAGACTGAGATATCCGCATTTCCAGCGGTGCTGGAGTATTCTATACGACCCACGAGTCTAGATCGCTTACACGCGCAGACTGGCAGGGGAATTATAGTGACCTTTCGGGGTCATTTTATGACTTGTTGGGGTCGGTCAGGGTCATTGACGTTACTGACGATTGCCATCCAGGCTTCATATGCAAATGAGAAATGTGCGGACACTTTACAACTTAACTAGAAGAACAGCTGTTTTTGCGGGTTTAAGGTAATAAGCAAGAAATAGAATCCATCCCTGATGTGAGGTATGGACAAGGTTGTTCAAACCCAAGGGATAAAATATTGAGCAGGAGACCCGAGGCTGTGCCGAGGGTCTTTTGCTCAATATTTTATCCCGAGGGTTAGAATAACCTTGTCCATACCTCACATCAGGGATGTATTCTGTTAATATCCAACAACAAATTCAACAAAAACATTATCTAAAACTAAATGTATTAACTTATTCTTTTATTTATTTGGAACATGTTTTTAGGAAACTGAAGACAAAAGTTGACAGAAAAAAAATTGTGGAAGTGTGTAGTATCAAGCGTACAACATTTGACCGCCTGGTGGCAGACCTGGAAAAACAAGTGGAGACAATCATCGGTAATTACCTTGATATTATTATTTAAGGGAAGCATTGGTTATAAGGCCAAAAATGTGGTTTGTTGCTTGCAGCTCACTTGATATTAGTGAAGGTAGATGGGGATATTGTTTCATTCATTTTTTTTACAAAGGTTTTGTAAAAAAAAAAAAAAAAGGAGTCGTGTTTACGACTGTAACAGCAATTATATGAAATTATTTAAACATTATTTATGTGATCAGGACTCAGGTTAGAAATTCAAAACCATTAGGCACTGTGCCTAGTGTCAGAAAAAATCCACTAGGCACTAAGGAAATTTTACTGTGTGCATGTCTGCATGAAAGTATGAATAGGGCATATTTTCATTTACTTATTGTTTCTCTTTTCATGATGACTTCCCATGCACAAAATAAGAGTGCATTTATTCATAAAAAAAATGAAATGATCTATCATTGTCGTCAATGTCAGTGATTTTTTCTGAACCCTTGCCAAAAGAAATGAACATAAATTATTTGCTACTAGATTTTCCAATTGAAATTTGAAAGGACCAAATAAGGTGGAAAATAACACTCTTTTTTCACAGGAAACGGGTCCTTAAGAGATCTTAAAGGGAGATAATCATAAGGGAGGCAATCACAGGGATTTCATTGATACATGATTCATGGCAAGGTTAGAATTGATACTGTACACGATTCATAGCAAGGTTAGAATTGATACTGTACACGATTCATAGCAGAGTTATAATTGATACTGTACACGATTCATAGCAAGGTTAGAATTGATACTGTACACGATTCATAGCAGAGTTTAAATTGATACTGTACACGATTCATAGCAAGGTTAGAATTGATACTGTACACGATTCATAGCAAGGTTAGAATTGATACTGTACACGATTCATAGCAAGGTTAGAATTGATACTGTACACGATTCATAGCAAGGTTAGAATTGATACTGTACACGATTCATAGCAAGGTTAGAATTGATACTGTACACGATTCATAGCAAGGTTAGAATTGATACTGTACACGATTCATAGCAAGGTTAGAATTGATACTGTACACGATTCATAGCAAGGTTAGAATTGATACTGTACACGATTCATAGCAAGGTTAGAATTGATACTGTACACGATTCATAGCAAGGTTAGAATTGATACTGTACACGATTCATAGCAAGGTTAGAATTGATACTGTACACGATTCATAGCAAGGTTAGAATTGATACTGTACACGATTCATAGCAAGGTTAGAATTGATACTGTACACGATTCATAGCAAGGTTAGAATTGATACTGTACACGATTTAAGCAGGGTTAAAATTGATACTGTACACGATTCATAGCAAGGTTAGAATTGATACTGTACACGATTCATAGCAGAGTTAAAATTGATACTGTTCACGATTCATAGCAAGGTTAGAATTGATACTGTTCACGATTCATAGCAAGGTTAGAATTGCAGATCATTTTTCATCTTGTCATAGCAACTTCATTACAGATGAAACTGTATTTAATTTAAAAGCCAAAAAACAAAAAAAATGAATCCTAAGCTTCATGCTGTAGTATAACTAGCCATAGGAAATCATATCAATACAATTTTGGGCAAGAATTAGTAGATTGAATAAGACTTGCTATCTGAACATTTAGAGTTTTTGTAAATGAAGAATTGCAGAGACCTTATATTATTAACCAAAGATTCATTCAGTTCTGTTCATTCAGTTTTTTGTTTGTTTTTCATTTATTAGGTGAACAAGGCAAGGTAAAATCAACAGCTATTAAGAAACGACCAAAGTCATTAATGGATGATGTTGAGCGTCACATGCAAGGTAAATATATATACCTGATATATGAAATTTGGGGAAAACATGTCTTCCCTATGATAACATTTTGTATTTGCATTATCAGTATTCAACAAGAAGAGTTGTAACAGTTTTAAGTCTCCGTTACCTGTGGAAGCTTAACATCATAAGAGGCTGGTACAGTTCATAGTTTTAGATGGTCCTTGAATTACAAGAAGCCTAGCAGCTAAGTTCTTATATCCTCACTTCCAATCAGCACAGATAGCTTTAGGTAACAGCCATAATACCTTGGAGGCACGGTAGTCTAGTGGTAGGACGCTGGGTTCGTGACCAAAGGGTTGCAGGTTCGAGTCACGTCACGGCACTGTGTTATATCTTTGAACAAGATACTTTACTCCGCTTGTTCTAGTCTACTCAGCTGTAAATGTGTACGTGGTTGGGCAGCGCTAGCTGAATGCTAGCTGTGAGCACCGAAATAGCAGCACCAGCTGGGAGTTGAGAAAGATATTGCCTGGTTGCAAAGTCTCAATAACCATGGATAATAACTAGTGAACTGCTTTGAGACAACCTAAGTTAAAGCAGTTTATAGGGAGTATTAAGAACCTCAAATTATTTTTATTAATACCTGGCACATAGAGGTTGAGATTGGTGTCATTCTTTATAAAAAAACAAACCTTTACTTTTGCAGAGGAGGAAAGCAAGCGAGCAAAGACAGATAATTCAGAGGAAAGTGGTGGAAATGTTGATTATAAAGACTGGAAAAAGAGAATCCTGGAAAAGGCTTTAAAAGCTAAAAAGGAAGCTAAGGCAGAAAAAGACACAAGTAATACTGCAGATTCCTGATAAACGTCAAAGATGTGTGGATTGGTGGAGTAATGGACATGTTTGATTGGTTATTCCTCGTCAATAAACCTTGTGTTACCTGTATATCTCTGGAGTTGGGGCTATATATGTGGATCTCAGTTTCGGCAGAGTTACTAACAGCTTTGGTTGAGAATTACTTTTAAAAAACCTTTATTTACCCGCATGTATCGTTGGAGTTAAAGCTGTATGTGTGAATCTGTGATATTTGCAGAGTTACGGAAACCTTTCATTCAGATTTGCTCCTCAGAACTCTTGTGTTACTGGTATATGTCTCTGGAGTAAAAGCTGCATGCTACCTAACTGTGATAAGTATCTCCACTTCAAAAAGAGCTCTACACTGTACAAGGTCTTTCGTTATAGTACAAGGTTAATTAATTTTAATAAAGTTAACAGGAATAAATACATTGATAAACACAGTAACACTGCTTGTTCTGAGATAATGTATTGGTTAACAAATATGAATAAAATTAGGGAGATAGCTCTCAAATTACACAGCTGGCTGCCTTTTTATCGTGTTCCAAACCGATGTACCTGTACAAGAGTTGTTCATATATGAAAAAGGGAAGGACCTAGTGATTTGATGTTTCTATCTGGCGAGCCTTGACAAAGGCTTTCAAGGCCTGCATTAACATTTGCAGGTCCGTCAATGTCAGGTTTGTGCATTTTAGAAATAGACAAACCCGTTGGTCCACATACATTAACAGGCTCCATGTTTTAAAGATTATCTAGAATTTGGTAAAGTCCTTAATACCATTTTGTTTCTATAAATACACACTGGTATATGTATAAATAGAGAACTTTGAAAGATATTCACTCTTTTCATGTAATGGAAACAATTGCCAGTGAGTAAAAGCAGTATATTCAGCGGGACCAAAATCCCCATTGAACTGGCTGACAATAGGAGTTATTTCCCTTTATAACAGGTAAATTATATTTCGTTATACTGACTTAAGGTAATAGGATTGTGTCACCATTTCTCAGTAGAATTTCTTCAAATTTTGTAGTTATATTGCTTTAAAGTAAAGAAACTTTTCTGCCACAAAAAAAAATATAGGTTGTCAGAATTTTTAGGATTTTAAATGGAAATTTATGTAAAAAGGAGTGAATTTTGAAGAAAAAAATGAAAGACACAATATTTTTACAAAATAATGTCAATAAAAATGATACTGACATATATTAGTATTGCATTAATGTATATCAATTTAATAAATGCTGAAATTGTGTAAAATTAATTCTCTATACACGATATAAAAATTGACATTTTATTATAAAACCATATACACATAGAAATTGCAGGTAAGAGTTATCGTTTTTGAAAAACTTCACAGTAGTGAAATAGGTAGCCGGGTTCCTGAAGTACAGAAAATGGACACATGTGACTCATTGATAAAAAAAACCCTGAATTAATGCCTGGATTGCCATGAAATACTTTCATATTGAGAGAACACACTGTTCTGTCAATAATAAACATACAATATTCATCAGTTTAATATTAAACATTAGAATTTGCAGAAATTGTGATACTGTCTCCCTACATTGGATTTTCAACTAGGGATGTGCTTCCTGTTTCCGTTTATCAATACACTCCAATGACCTTAAGCACAATATGAATGCTATGTTGCAATGTTTATTTGACAATATGGCAGAGAAGTATAAGATTCAATCATGTCCTGTGTTAACAGTCATCATAAGATTTTTGTATGTCCAGGAATTATAGAAAGCTTTATTTGGGACAAACATAAACAGATAGATATGTTAGGAAAAATAAGGAGCATTAAAAAGGTCACAATTCCATGGTGTCCGATAAGATTTTTGAAGATGTCACTTGATTGGAGAGAGTAAATGTTATCGGAACATGTTGTCGGATAAGATTTTTTCAATGTGTCACATTTGTGAGTGTAAACAGTCACCAGAAAGTGTTCATCAAATCCTATACTAAAGTGTACTATAGAGTATAGAATTTGATTTGAATCAGTTTTATATTAAGGCAATATCTTTAGTATGTCATACATATACAGTCATGGTACACATATATATCATATATGAAATCATTGTATAGATTTGAATATATAACAAATATAGAATCTTTAGGACTGTTTTGTAATTATATTATGTAAGTTATTATAAGTGTGTTTGCAGAGCTATATTATAATGTTTTGTCCATGCATTTCCAGATTCTAAAAAAACCATGAAATATTTCAATCCCGATTATGTGTGGATGATTTAACTGAAAGTTAAGCTATGCTGTCCCAGGGATCAACGTGCACATCTTAAGGAAATGTCTTCTTGAATTTTTGTAAATTCTTCATATCATATATCATTAATCAAAGGAAATTGTGATTTTAAGTGAAACATGACATTAAACTATTCAGGAAGTTAAGAAGTTAAGGAAGATTATACATTTATTGCCCTTATTGTAGGGAAACCCGAGGTTAATCCTGTTTGATAAGGGCATCCGAGGTTAATCCTGTTTGATAATGGTGTCCGAGGTTAATCCTGTTTGATAAGGGTGTCCGATGTTAATCATGTTTGATAAGGGTGTCCAAGGTTAATCATGTTTGATAATGGTGTCCGATGTTAATCATGTTTGATAAGGGTGTCCGATGTTAATCCTGTTTGATAAGGGTGTCCGAGGTTAATCATGTTTGATAATGGTGTCCCAGGTTAATCCTGTTTGATAAGGTGTCCGATGTTAATCATGTTTCATAATGGTGTCCGAGGTTAATCATGTTTGATAAGGGTGTCCGAGGTTAATCCTGTTTGATAAGGGGGTCCGAGGTTAATCATGTTTGATAAGGGCGGCCGAGGTTAATCATGTTTGATAAGGGAGTCCGAGGTTAATCATGTTTGATAAGGGCGGCCGAGGTTAATCATGTTTGATAAGTGTGTCCGATGTTAATCATGTTTGATAAGGGTGTCCGATGTTAATCATGTTTGATAAGGGTGTCCGAGGTTAATCATGTTTGATAAGGGTGTCCGAGGTTAATTATGTTTGATAATGGTGTCCGAGGTTAATCATGTTTGATAATGGTGTCCCAGGTTAATTATGTTTGATAATGGTGTCCCAGGTTAATCATGTTTGATAAGGGCGTCCGATGTTAATCATGTTTGATAAGGGTGTCCAAGGCTAATCATGTTTGATAATGGTGTCCCAGGTTAATTATGTTTGATAATGGTGTCCCAGGTTAATTATGTTTGATAAGGGTGTCCGAGGTTAATCATGTTTGATAAGGGTGTCCGAGGTTAATCATGTTTGATAAGGGTGTCCGGGGTTAATCCTGTTTGATAAGGGCGTCCGAGGTTAATTATGTTTGATAAGGGTGTCCGAGGTTAATTATGTTTGATAAGGGTGTCCGATGTTAATCCTGTTTGATAATGGTGTCCGAGGTTAATCATGTTTGATAAGGGTGTCCGAGGTTAATCATGTTTGATAAGGGTGTCCGAGGTTAATCATGTTTGATAAGGGTGTCCG